ATTAGACACCCCAGCTTATTTCACCTTTTGATTAAACACCCTAATGCTTACCCAACCTAACCTAAACTCCCCAATTTCTTTATAGTAAATGTAATTTTTTTTGTTACAGATGTTACAATAAAACTTTGGGAAATTTAACTGCAACACTACTACAGGTACTACTTTGCTGTCACTCAGAATCAAGTATGACGATCATCCAGCTATGATACAATGGTATGAGTTATTAAGGATGTCACCTAGGTTGGCGAATTCTGAGGTGACTAAAGAGGCTGATACGGGACCGGCAGGTTCGTTCACAGATGTTGCACATGTGGGGGGCAACACAGCTGAAAATTACCAACTAGAGCATGGAACAAGAGCCGCCACCACCACAATTTATTAATGACCAACGTTTTTAAAATAAAGTGCAGTAGAGCTTCAAAACCACACAAATACCAATGTGTTGCTAGAAATTATACTATAGGTTTTAAGATCAGATTACTACAGTGGAAAATGTTTGAAGATCAGGCTACATTATTCTATATTGTAATGATAATGATAATGATAATAATAATAATAATAATAATATTTAATAAATTAAATTGTCATGTACAGTAGGTACAGTATATAAATTATGCAGGTTTACAGTTCAGCATGTATATAAGGACCTCTATTTAGGCTAAAAAATTTCCAGGACTTTAAAATACTATAGAGACAAATTGTGGGGTAAAAATTCACCGTTTCATGAAAAACTAGATGTGTTTATATTCACGATAATGGCAGTCTGCACCACACTTTGGACACTTTACTTAAGTTTGCAGAACATCATAGGTCTTGTAAATGTCAATTACAGTGGTGTTATTTACAAAAACGTGTTGAATGGTTTGCAACTGACAAATCCCAATTCAAAGCTTGAGCATGTACAGGAGTATAACGTGACACCGAGATTTCTGCTGTTTGGCTGGACATATAAGTGAGTGAGTAAGAAGTTAAAAGTATAACCCACAAACTTGTTAGTGTGAATATAAAACCCTCCAAATTGTACTTTTTTAATTGAAATTGAAAATAAAAATGCAGGCATCCCTCGCTATATGAATGTCTTAAGTTTTTTGAAAACCAATCGCTAAGTGAATATTCTTATATCGATTGATACAACATAGAGGAAAATACAGTATTTGGTCCCCAATGACAAGAAAAAAAATGAAATGCATTCACAAGCAACAGAAAAACCTACCTACTGTAAATTAGTACCTAATTTATGTCGTTTAGTACCTAATTAATGTAATTTAGTACCCAATTACTGTAATTTAGTACCTAATACATTAAGAAAATTAAATAAATATAAATTTGGTACATTACCTTAAGGGACCATAGCTTTTGTATATAGAGAAAGAGGTGTACAAAAATTTGTGTAGTGAGGGATACCTTTGACTGGAAAAATAACAATTTCGAGACGAAAACACTGATGTATTTTTATATGCTCTATCTCCCTATACAAAATTATCATAGTGTTGTGTGGTTGTAGTTTACATTATCAGTACTAAATACAGACCGTAAGAAATAAAGAAACAAGAAGTGAAAAATGTGATGGGCCAAGTATACAGCATTACCTATCTAAGCAGTACCAAACTTCTTTACTAAACAGTATACAGTCGAGTCTGGATTTACCCGGTTTTTGTTTACGCGTTTGGTCATTTACGCGGTGCCTTGCTAGAAAGGAAATGCTTTAATTACGCGGGAAGCAGCGCAGGCAGGGTGCGCACAAGGTCGCCCAGCCATCAAAACATTACTGAGTTCTTCACCCGCCACCCACCACAGCCGGCCCAAGTCAGTGATAGTGATAGTGAGGATATGGACTTTGAGGGGTTTGACAAAGAGGCCCTGCAAGCCTATGTAGTGGATAGTGGTACAAGTGATACAGGTGAGGGCCAATAATCTGCCCTCTGCCTCGGAACCAACCTCCCATCCCCGTGTGCCCAGCCATCTTTTCTACTAACGTAAGTGTTGAAAAACCTAATATTATTGATATTTCTCTTAATTATTAATTGTGTGTGCATATCATCATAAAATTAAGATGTTATTTTGACTACAAGGTACGTATTGTGTCGGAAAAAGTGGAGCTTGGGGGTCGGCCCAGTCTCTATTTCAATTAATCCCATATATTCTGTTATTTCATTTACGCGTTTCTCGTTTTACGCGGTACTCCACGGGTTCAATTGACCACGTAAATGAAGACCCAACTGTACTGAAATTAACTACATGCTGAACTGCTCCCCAGATTTCAGTACTACCTATCTTATTTCAAATGAATTCGCTATACTGTATACCGAACCCCTCCTCAAATATTCAAATATAATACAGTACTGTACCGTACTGTAGTACAAATATCTAATATAACTTAGAAATAAAGAAAATACTATATAACATAAAACTATAAAATAAGCACAACAAATCAGTAGTGGGAAGAAAATTCTGTGTGGGAGAAGGTGGGCTGTTGGTTGAACTGAGCGATAAATTCCCTCTCTGTTACCATGACCCCCTTAAAATGACAGTATGCAATTTTACCTAAATTCCCATACTACAGTATTTAAGTTCATTTGATGCTGGATTATTAAACATTATCATAAAAAAAATCAAGTTTCTTCCCCCCAAAAGTCCCATTCTCAACCCCAGATGAGTTATGTCGTATTAAATTCCTGATACCTTGTTTGCATAGATGAACAGCTGACCACCCAGTCAGCCAGGGAAGGAGCTGTTTATGTAATGTATAACTATTTTTTGCACAATAATTATAAGTTATTGTGTTTTTTAATGTATTATATATGATATTTAGTGCTACCAAACTATATTTCATATATAAAAAAAAATACAGTATTGTGACAATTATCTGGACCAAAAATACCTAACTTTTTCATATACAGTATTGTGTCGAACAAATTTAAGTACTGTATTAACGAGTTTTTCGGATTCAGTTTAAAACAAAAATATCCCAATATTGAACTGGTTACTCACCAATTATTTCAGCACAAAGAGGTAACACTATACAGTACTAGGGTCTGCACTTGTGTTTATACTGTGCTACCAAAAGAAGATACAACTTAGCTCCAAAATAAAAGAATTCACTTAAGCAACAATTTATTACTCAATAACAATTAATAGAGAGGCATAAGGAAAATTCAAGAGGATTTGGAGAGCAATAACAGGAATAAAAAATGCATAAATTAGCTGTCACTGAGTATTAAGCAGATGTTGCTTCTTCACACTAAAAACTTATTTAATCTTCTGAAAAACAAACACGAGTAAATGAGTAACCAAAATATAACATACAGTACCATGTGTGAAAGATAAAGTAATTCTCATCATAATTTACAACCCATAAATGCAATAGCACTTCCTCTATATTGTACAGTATTTTGAGTTTCCCATCTAAGTCAGTTTGCTGCAATTTGTGGTACAATAGAGTTTGAGAAGAAGTCAGCTTATTGGGGAAAGGGGCTTTATAATAAGACTGAGGGTATCACTTTAATCCGTAGTTGAATTTTTATAACCAATTGTGCTCTGAAAATCTGAATATGGAAAAAAGGTTAACTTGTATCAAGACAACCATGAGCAGCATAAGTGTTACCTGACCTCTGCAAGTATATCAGAGAGTGAGGTTTATTTTGATACACAGTGCTTGGGTGTGCCATATAAGACTAGTTATGCTACTACTACTGAAATGTTCAGTGAGCCAATGTACTGGAGGTATCCTTGGCACCAAGACTGAACCAGTTCTGAGGAATTTCCTGTACCCTGGGTCCTGGATTATGTTTGTTTTTCCCCGGGGTCATCTACCAGTTATCCTAGATCTTTCAGTAAACTACATCAGTTTTGCTTCCATACACTTGCACAAACTCAGATGAATGTTGGATTTATTTCTTAAATAACAAAATAAAGAACTTTTGTATGCTATTTTAAATATATTAGATAGTCTTTTTAGACCCCAAAATGTGGTTTAAATGAGTTCAGCAGCAGAACTTGATGCATCTACTAGCAGGACTAGGTAACAGATGTACCACCCTGAGGAAGAAATTTAATCTAACCTAGGGATGAAAATGTCCTGTCTTCAATAATCTCCAAATATTAAGATCTGGATTTGAGGGTCTGTACAGGTACTCCCCGACTTACGACCGCCTCAGTCGTACCAAAATTTGGTCAAATTATGTATTTTTGAGTCCCAAAGTCAGTACACAGACAAAATTTTCATCTGTAATTCACTTTAAAATGGCTGACAAGCTTAAAAGTGAGAGTTTTGTGGTGCTGAGAAGAAAAAGAGACATTCATTTCCGACTTACGACCATTTCGACTCACGACCTGGATGTCGGTCCCTAACTCCGTCGTAAGTCGGGGAGTACCTGTACCTGTAGTTCTTTCAGTTTATGTAAAACCCTAACATATATTTTTTGAATTTAAGTTATTCTGATTCCTGTATACAATTAATCCAACTTAGTACCATCTGGGCTAGTAACTTATGAGAATTAGCTTGTCAAGTTATAGTATAAAGTAAAAGGCAAACTAAACAAATTCACACTCACGTCACATCCAGTGACCACGTAAAAAAGTGAAGAGTACTTGTAAAAATATTTATAAATCATTGAACAATCACCCAAATAAACGATGTCACCATTCCCAGAAATTTTCAATCAGAAAGTTGTATCTGGCAACTACCAGACTCGCTTCATTTTCGCTTTTATTTTTTCGAGGTGGAACAAAATTTTGTGAACTAGTAACAGAAAATAATTAGAAAATACTAAAGCAATTTTTCATAAAAATAGTTAGAACAATTTATGGTCTGTAGTTAAAATTTTAGTATATTACTGTACCGTATTTTGAAATGAAATAATGTGATATGCGAGATTATCGCTCAAGGACGTTCAGGAATAATTTGTGGAGTTAGAATTGAATGTCAAAATGAAAAGGTATACATTAATTGCATTAAGCTGAAACAAATATCTCTGAAAAGTATGAAATGAAATAATAACCATACTCACTACATTTATGCCATGTATTTAATGAATATAGAAACAAATCTTTTCCATGTTCACCACCATGATGGACTATGACTTAAGGCAGGAAACATTCACAAAACAAAATTCTAAACTTTAGATGAACTATACATTTAAATAAATATGCCTTGATACTTTTCCCCAAGTAATTATAAGAAAATTAATTATTATTTAGCAACCAAGAATAAAATATAAAACATTAAAGATTCCTGTTCAACAGTCACTCGGCACTGATAAAAAAAAGCAAAATTTGGTTAAATTGCTAACTTCAATGAAACCTTATTCAACTAATAATTATTTTAGAGTAAAAACCACTTTTATATTCTTCAAAAAATAAAACAACTTCTAAACAAGGAAACAAGCCATCTGCAGAATATTCTACACCAAGAAGTGTTATTGGCTTGTGTTGTGTCTTATTGGACTGGCTGTCCTTTATTATACCTGCACGCATCGTCTTCTTTCAAGCATGAGACTGGGATACAGCTCTTACTTTTGCTACCAGTCTTGAAGTCTTTTACCTGCAAAAATATGAGGGAATACCAGAAAATATTGAGGTAGCAAGAAATTTGGCTCTGGAGTTTGCAAATATACCATCTTACTACAACGGAGTTCATCCCACAAGTCACTTGGTCACAATGGTCAGTCATGCAGTCACTCACCCGGCTTCTGCAAAGTTGCCAGATACTGCTGTTTGAAAGAATCATATTGAAAAGCATGACATCACTTCTTTCACCGATTGTACAGTATTATACTACAGTACTTGTCTCACTACAGTAACGGATGTAAGGTAGAGATACCACAGGTTCAGTCTCCATCTCTTATTATATCATTCTGGTTTTACTTGGTAAAATCTCACAATAGTTTTTGCTCTTTGTCCAGCTGAAGAAAATATATTTCTAAAAAAATCTACTTATATTTGATGTGTATAAGAAAGGGGAACTGGTCAATAGAACTGTCTGTTTGACGAAAGAGTTGAGCATGTTGCCAGGCATTTTCTCCTTGGCCATCTAAAAGTCTTGCTGATAATTCCAGCTTTGTTGTTTCATGCTGTAAGTCCCCCTGGGAGAGCTCCAACACACCATCTGGAAACCAAATTTTATTAATAGTATACTGAACCATATTTGTATTTGAATGTACAGTACAAGTATGGGACTGTTCATCTGGCACCTCAGTATCCTGAATGCTCAAAAAATGGGCTATGTTTTGGGATGATTGATTTCAAATGAGCACCAAGTAACTCCTAGGCCCAGCAGGGAAATCCAACCATTCTCAACTTGTGAACTATACTGTATATTATTGTAGGGTTATTTTTCAACTCGTACATAGAGTAAATACAAAATGAAAAAAAAAAAAAATGTGTCAAAAGGTACCGTATGAAGTTTTAAGTATCTATGGGTTTCCACTGTGAAGTTGTGTTGAGAGGTCAGGTGGTCCGTGGCACAAAGTATCGTTGCTAGGAACGCTGCTATATTGCTAAGGCAAGTGTCAGTGGAGACCGAGACACAGTTTGTACCCTAACTTTTATCATTTTACTCTTTTAATGCTTTCATTATTACTATTTACATGCTTTGTTATTGCTGTTTATATCCCTATAATTTTAAGTTATATGTTACAGTTTACAGTAACAGGTAAAGCTACTCTCAGCAGTCAATCAAGTGATCTCAAAAGGTTTTGCAGCCAGTTACAGAGGGTTTATTACTGTACATTTAGTACCTTTTAGGCCTGCCGCTCCAAATTCTGGAGAAAAAACCTATCCAGTAACCCTCAAGTTCCATGTATATCAGATAAATGGCCCCACACCTGTATTTAATCATGATCCTGATCATGCTTAGTAAAACTTATGGGATGACAGAAAAATGAAAATTAGCAAATAGCCACTGACACCTTTAAATTTATGCTTATTAAAGATCTAAAAGACAATTCTGAAGTACAAAAGCCTTTTCTTCCTTCACGAAAGCTAGTTCAAGTATTTGAGAATACTTAAACATAAATGGTGAAATGACCCTAGAAATCATAACTAATGGCTGAATGCAGAACAGGCAACATGTGAAATAAGCCAGGCCGAGACTGCAGTTACCCCAGGATATGCTTTCCTTAAAGGGACCCCCAGAATAGAAGTCTGCTTGGAGATGGTAAATCACCAATCCAGAATCAGAAATATTACCCAAAGCCTTGAAGCACTACAACATCTTGGAAGGATGCCTGCAGCAAAGGCACAAAACTTTGCTTTTGTGGCAGAAGAAAGGAATGAAGGATTCTTTACAACCTTGGAGAGCAAAACTCCTTTACTTAGACTTTCATATTGAATAGACAACATCAAGGGGAGACCTGACACATCAAGAGTCTGAACATCGTATAGTGCATTTTTTTTCAGCTGAGAAAAGATGCCCTGCCTCCTTCTCAAGAATTACAGCTGATTGGCAGCTTCAAACCTGTCCGATATCGTTCTGAAGTAATGATGTACAGTACAGTATTTCTAAATTAGTTTATTCATAATCGTTGGGATGACCGTTTCTGAAGAGAAAGATATTTAGCTAATTTATATAAAGATACATACATTCATTACAGTGACCCCTCGTTTAACGAAATTTCGGTAAACGAACTGCCTTCCATAAGGATCTTCAATTCGGTTAACGAATTTCTTACGAACCGACCTCAACATGTTTTCGCTTGCACTGGCCGGGCAACCAGCTTTAGTATCAGTCCGCCAATACATTAATCGGTTCTAGGGCTTAAATTCCTTACTATTTTAGTAAATATTAAGAAGTTTATACTATTCAATAATTTTAAAAGTTTAATATTCAATTTTTTAGTCATTTTAACAATTATTAAACATAATTGAAGGTAAAGTGACTAGTTTAATGAGCGGCATCCAGCCTCTTAACACAGCAAACAGGCATTAGTCTCTCTCTGTTTTCACTGGAGGTAACATTTTGCTTGAGACTCTCTTCAACTAAACGCTTTTTTTCTGTATTTCCAAGCAAATTATTGGTCATTTTGAAATATATTTTACATATTGACAATATATAATGCAGTGCAGTGTTGATTTAAAGAAAATAATCTTGAAATACGCCAAGAGAACTAAAATTTTATGGGTGAAATGGTGCCATGGGGTGACTTCTCTTACACCCCAATGCCTTCTCTTCTTCTTTCTCCTCCACCTCCATTCTAATTCCCATCATCATCATCATCATCCAGGAGCCTTCTACATACACACCTCAAAGTAAGTGAACTTTTCTACCATTTTTGTTGAATTTAGGCAATTTTCGGTGAGCTGGAACCAATTACCCAAAAACCCATTGAAACAATGGTTTCGGTTAACGAACGACCTTCTGGAACGGATTGAGTTCGTTAACCGAGGGGTCACTGTATTTCAAACATAAGCATGTAAGAAGTTTATCAGAAGTATTTGTACATGAATTAACTGATAAACTCTGGTAGCAAATTCACACTTTCGGACGATGCATTTAATATATACAGGTAGTTCTGCTATAACGCGATAGTAGTGTTCTTGTAAAACATCGTGTCATAGAAATTCGTGTAATAGAAATAACAGGGCTTATGGAGAAAATAGGGTTAGGTGCAGATTACTCCAAATCGAAAAAAAAATTCGTAGTTAGCCTAACACAAAGGATAGCACAGTCTAAATAAATACATTCATATCTAATAATGAAATCATACAGTAAATGTTACACTTTACCTTGAAAAAATATGAATATAACTTTATGGGGGATAAGGGTGATGTTGAGGCTGAGGAGTCATGAAACATCAAGCTTTTCTTCAAGTGTTATAGCCTTTCTTTTACGATCACCACCGGAAATGCGATCACCAGAGTGCTTCCCAGAGATATTCTTCTTTTCCATAGTCACAAAATTGGAGAAACAGTAATCAGAATTCACTGAGGACACTTAAAAACTTCACGTGTTTCAAACAAAGTGTGGAGTAAACAGAGCGCGTGGGTCTAAAACGCTATGTATTTTGTTTTTCTCTCATTTAAAATTTTACATTTTACATATACAGTACTGTACAGGTATACTGTATACATAAATATTACATAAATTATTTCTGCAATTCTTCACAAACAAAACACATAAACCAATGGAACATGTGATGTCGAACGTGAACTGTAAACACTGCATAACCCCGCGCCAAGCCACAATGTACAGTACACTTTAAACGCTACTTATTTTGTTTTTCTCTCTTATTTAAAATTTTACAATTTACATATACTGTACAGGTATTTCTTCACAAACAAAACACATAAATCAATTGAACAAGTGATGTAGAACGTGAACTGTAAACATTGAGCCAAGCCACAACACTGTACAGTACACTTTAACACTTTAAACGCTACGTATTTAGTTTTTCTCTTTTATTTAAATTTTTACAATTTATATATATATATATATATATATATATATATATATATATATATATATATATATATATATATATATATATATATATATATATATATATGTATATATATATATATCTATATATATATAGTGTAATTTACATAATATTCATATTATGCTAAATATACAAAACATGAAAGCGTTTAGTCCCCAGTAGAGATATCCGTTCTCTATCCACTTCCAGGATGTCGTTTTCTTTTGTGTACTCGCTCAGGGACTCAAGTATTTCTGTATATGACACAGGATGATAAGAAATTGAATTTATTTACATTTATTTATTTATATATATAATATACTGTAATATAAATATACTGCAAATATTTTCTTTGAATTGCTCCTCGTGTTTAGCGACAAAGGAGGCTACATTTATGGTGATCGTTAAGGACCAAACTCCGAATCCATAGCGTGACTTCTGTTCATTATTTACTAGCCTAAAATTTACCGCATCGGCAGTTTCCAAGAATTAATGCAGTCATTTACTGAATATTCTTTGCAAAAAATAAATTTTTAAATGAATTATTTATAAGAGATAGAAATATTATGATCAGTAAATATACAGATAATAAATTACTGACCACCTCCGAACACAGAGGCGGCTAAAATAGCCACAGGCGGTCTGATGAGTCACTTTCCTTTCTTGTCACTGGCAAATGGGGGAGGGGGATGACAATAGCTGTGTTTATTACGGTATGTTAGACTAGTTTTGCATACATTTTTATTATTTTTAATATACGGTAATCTTCATTAATCAGCTTACCAAGCGTAAAGTTTCAGTATAAAATAATTAGTGGTACTGTAGGACCTTGTGAAGGTGGTTACTGTATACATAAATGTTATAAATTATTTCTGCAATTCTTCACAAACAAAACATAAATCAATTGAATATGTGATGTCGAGCGTGAACTGTAAACACTGTGTGTGTGTGATGTAGAGAAGAGTGTAAGCGCTATGTAATTTGATTTTCTCTCTTTTATGTAAATTTTACAATTTACTTATAATATATAGGTATACTGTATACATAAATATTACATACATTATTTCTGCAATTGTTCTAAAACAAAACACGTAACTCAATTGAACATGTGATGTCGAGCGTGAACTGAAGCCACAACAACTGTTAGTGGAATCGCGTTGGAAACCAAGCGAGTTCGTTTCACAAATACCGTTCCTCAATTCATAAATCGCGTTAAAATTCACGTTGTCAAAACACGCGTTATAGCAGAACTCACTGTACAGTACTTATTTTTACCAACAATAAGGCATTAAGACAAATTACATATCAGTAATACTACAGGTACTCCTCCACTTATGACCACCCAGACATACGACCGCTGCAGTCGTATAAAATATTTTTCAAATTACGCATTTTCGATTCCCGACTTCAGTGATCGCGCCATGTACTGACAAAATTTTAGTTTGTAATTCCCTTATTGGCAAACGTAGAAGTGAGAGTTCTTGTGGTGCTGAGAAGAAAAATAGACACCCATTTTAGATTTTCTATGTATTATCTTCGCCTTTTTGACTTATGACCTGGTTGTCGGTTCGGAAACCCGTTGTAAGTCAAGGAGAGACTGTACATTATACAAAAACTAACATTTTAAAAGACCATAATCACATTAAAATATTACACGGCACAGCAGAGATGGGAAATATGACTGCAAACAACTTCATATTTCCCCGCTGACGGCAGTGTAATATTTCAATGTGATTCCGATCTTTTAAAATGTTGTTCAAGTATAATGTACTACGACATTGATATGTAATTTGTCTTAGTATGTTTTATTGTAGGTAAAAATAAGTATATATTAAATGCATCCTGTAGTGGCACCAAGAGTCATCACCTATCAAACTTCAGAGGTAACTACTGTACAGTGGTCCCTCGGTTAATAAGCACCTCGGTTAACAAGTTACCTTCCATAAGATTCTTAACTTCGGTTAATGAGCAATCCCTCAATTAACGAGTTTCTTACGAGCCGACTCAACATGTTTTCGCTTGCATTTGGCGGTCCACCAGCTGTAGTATTAGTCCACCAATACAGTAATCGGTTCTAGGGCTTAAATTCCTTACTATTTTAGTAAATATCAAGAAGTTTATACTATTCAATAATTTTAAAAGTTTAATAAATTTTTAGTCATTTTAACAATTATTGAACAAAATTGAAGGTAAGGAACTTAGTTTTATAGCCGCCATCCAGCCTGTCAACACACCAAACAGGCACCAGTCTCTCTGTCTTTTCAGTGGAGGTAACATCTTGCTTGAGACTCTCTTCAACTAAATGCTTTTTTCTGTGTTTGCAAGCAAATCATTGGTCATTTTGAAGTTTATTTTACATATTGACAATATATAATGCAGTGCAGTGTTGATTTAAAGAAAATAATCTTGAATTACTCCAAGAGTACTAAAATTTTATGGGTGAAATGACGCCATGGGGTGACTTCTCTTCCACCCCAATTCCTTCTCTTCTCCCTTCTCCACCCCCATTCTAATTCCCATCATCATCATCATCATCATCATCATCATCCAGGAGCCTTCTACATACACACCTCAAAGTAAGTGTACTTTCTACCTTTTTTTTTGAATTTAGGCAATTTTCGGTGAGCTGGAACCAATTACCCAAAAACCCATTGAAACAATGGTTACGGTTAACGAGTTTTCGGTTAACGAGCAACCTTCTAGAACGGATTGTGCTCATTAACCGAGGGACCACTGTATTTCCTTTGAGACTGGGGCCATATCACGAATTAAGTTGTCATAATTTACAAATTCCGTACGGGCGAATTTCCTCAACCGAAGTTTCTGTAACGTGGGGGATGCCTGCATCTAAAATTCATTAAAACAAAAAGTAATTATACATTCTCATGAGAGTCTTGATTTTATAAGCTGGAAAGAAAATATTTTTGTTCAAACATAAGCAATACAGTCGGCACATCACATACGCGGGCTTAGCATACACGGATTCGCAACACGCGGATTGCCCTGCCGGAGGAATATTCTGTACTTTGAGTGAAGTACATTCAAATCAGGCGCATTCTAATGCTGCACTGCACACCGCCACCACCCACACACACACGCCACCCCTCACTCAGTCAGTCTCGCTGTAACCACGCTTGTATTGATTTCAGCATTGGAAGTGACTTGATTTTTACCAAAAATCGTTAATTTATGATATTCCTTGTTTATAGGTCGACCCAAGTTTTTGAGGGTATTGGAACAACAAAACCTTCAGTAAAACACTCTCACGCCCCTATAAACTGAGGCTCACCGTGCCTGAAACACAGAGTGCGAAGGCAAATTGTTTACCATTTATTATTACGACACTTTACACTGAAACGGGTAGTTTCAACAAAAATATTGTATATTTATTCAAGTCAATTAGGAGGGAATAATATTGTAATACAACAGTTTTTTAACTGAAAACCAGTACTGTACACTACAAGTACACTTTTTATCTCTTGAGCAAAATATATGACGCTTATATTCAAATTACTGGCTGTCTTGCAAGGATTCCAGCAATGCAAATTATAATCCCCAACTTTAGTCTGAGATATTATATAAGATAAAACTGTAAGCCTAAATAAACCCCTGGCTGAGCAGATGGTGGGGGAGGAGGGAGGGAGGAGGAGGGAGGAGGAGGGAGGGAGGGAGGAGGGAGGAGGGAGGAGGGGAGGGAGGGGAGGAGGGAGGGAGGGAGGCCAGCCAGGGGTGGGGTGGGTTGGTTGAGGCGATATGTTTGACAGTTTGAGCCGAAGGTCTATGTGTGTTTATTTAACAGTCCTACTACTCTTCTCCCATTTTAAAATGCCAGTGAAATGACCTGGGAGAATATAATTAACATTGCTGGGATTCTTGTAAGACTGATTAATTTGAATAGCAACATGCTCTAATGTGCACTAGACATAACAATTTTAGTACCGTAAGAAAATACATGTACACTGCAGCTTTGCACTAAGGTCATTTGTTTCTTTTAGTACAGTGTGTGCATGTAAATGGATGAAAATAAATGAAGAAATTTATGTAAATCTACCCAAAAATACAGTTGAAAACTTTATACTGTATTATAAAATATACTACACAGTACTGTACACTAATGTACTACATCTTTATATCTTGAGCAAAATATATGACGTTTATATTCAAATTATTGGCTGTCTTGCACGGATTCCAGCAATGCAAATTACAATCTCCTGACTTTAGTCTGAGATATTATATACAGTAAAATAAACACCTTAAAGAATAAAGTTATCAACAATCTTTTGTCTGGGAACACAAGGAGAGGGGTAGCCAGCGAGCATGGGGGGAGGGGAACAGGGGGGTGAGGTGACAGAGTGTGGTGTTTGTTTATTTATTTGAGATAAGATGTGACAGTTGGCGCTGAAGGCCTACGTGTTTATTTATCATTACTTAAGAGTGACTAAGCTCTTCTCATAATTTGCTACCAGCGACCTGGGTGAATATAACTTACATTGCTGAGATTCTTGTAAGATAGTGATTTATTTGAATACCTGTATAAACAATCTATATTTGCAATAGACAAAACAATTTAAGTACCGTAATCATTTAGTACATGTACAGTACAGGTTTGTTCCACGGTAAAATCTTTTGAACAACGAAAGAAAGCGAAAGTCATTGTTTTCGTCATGATTTTATCCCACTTTCTACTGTAATACGTACATCATTTCAGCAAAAATATTACATTTCCATATTTATTTCTGAGAATATATTCATTCAGTTACAGTTAAGGTAAAATATACTTGTGATGTAATATTTTAATGAAAATACCAGGTACAGTGACCCCTCGTTTAACGAACACCTCGGTTAACGTAATTTCGATTAACGAACTGCCTTCCATAAGGATCTTCAATTCGGTTAACGAAAAAGCTTAAACCACTTCTATTTAACCGACCTCAACATGTTTTTAGACTGACCGGCAGCCAGCTTTAGTATCAGTCCGCCAATACATTAATCGGTTCTAGGGCTTAAATTCTTACTATTTTTGTAAATATCAAGAAGTTTATACTATTCAATAATTTTAAAAGTTTAATATTCAATTTTTAGTCATTTTAACAATTATTGAACAAAATTGAAGGTAAAGTGACAAGTTTAATGCGCGGCATCCAGCCTCTTAATACAGCAAACAGGCGCAGTCTCTTTGTTTTCACTGGAGGTAACATCTTGCTTGAGACTCTTCTTCAACTAAACGCTTTTTTTCTGTGTTTTCCAAGCAAATTATTGGTCATTTTGAAATATATTTTATATATTGACAATATATAATGCAGTGCAGCATTGATTTAAAGAAATAATCTTGAATTAAACCAGAGAGCTAAAATTTTATGGGTGAAATGGCGCCATGGGATGACTTCTCTTCCACCCCAATGCCTTCTTCCTTCTCCTCCACCCCCATTCTAAATCCCATCATCATCATCATCATCATCCAGGAGCCTTCTACATACACACCCTCAAAGTAAGTGAACTTTTCTACCATTTTTGTTGAATTTAGGAAATTTTCGGTAAGTTGAACCATTATCTAAAACCCATTGAAACAATGGTTTTGGTTAACGAACGCCGTTAACGAACCAACCTTCTGGAACGGATTGAGTTCGTTAACCGAGGGGCCACTGTATTTAGAAATACGATATCGTAGTTTTCTTTAGTTTCAAATTTAATTAACAAAGATTGATGTTTCAAATGTAATGAACAAAAATTTATGTACAGTTTCTATAAATAAACTTTAAAAAATGAATACTTTATGTTTTACATCATCCTGTGCGTACCATACCATGCATTTGGCTACTTTGGGCTTGCTATGATGACGCAAGATCTGCCCTGGCAACTGTATCCACACTCACAGCTGGTGGTGCGTGCAGCCGCTTCCAATGTTTACTGGTAGTTACTGGGAAATATTTTTCAACCTAACGAAACTATTACCTGTTTAGAGGTCAACCCTAATTTTTTGCCAAATAATTTGGTCTTAAAACTCGAACTACACACAGGTATATACGGTAAATAAGGACATAGGTAGGGTTTTTAGAGGGGGGGCAGCAAAAGTACACGATTTTAACATTCACGGATATCTCTGTTACCTAACCCATGCGTATGTTAAGGGCCGACTGTATTTAGTTTACACAGACTTCACCTCGGTAACATTGTCATTCTTTAAAAAAACCTTCGCATTTATGGGTCTTGCAACTTCAGGAATGTTTTTGAGGTACCTTTGTTACCCATGAAGCACTTTGCTCCAGTACATAGCTGCCACGAAACAGCACCATTCTCAAATGCTGAAACACAATCAGCACTGATTCAGCCTTCAGTTGTGTGTGGGTCCAGTCCACTACCCAACTTATTTCACCAGTACTGCTTCCTTCTGTGAAAAATAACAAAATAAGTTTACTACACAAGCAATTTATCTTCTACTTTTTACTCTGAATGTCCTTCAGGCATGCATGATGTATAAAAGAGACTGAATTACAGTTCAACAAGGAACAGTGCTGTACTAAGTTGATGTATAGAGAAGGTGACAAAAACTAAAATGTTAGAAAGACATTTTATGTATAAACCATTACTGTAAGAGGACAGAAAAGGGGATATATGCAATTTTCTTTGTTAAAGTCACATAAGATAAGATGATGAAAACATGTAAAGTTGACTCAACTCATCCATAATTTAGAATCATAATCTAAAATACTGACTATGTTAAATACTGCAGAATAAGAAAACAAAAATCCTACACAGTACTTGCCTTTTCTAGCTATGAATACCATCTTCCAGTCAGCTTCATGCTTTCTCATGATACTTTTGCTTGATTTGATGCCGGCTTGCCAACCCTTGAGTACTTCTCCTGTTGTAACCCTAAAATACTCATCTCTAGCAGGTGAGTACTTCATCATGAACTCTTTCTTCACAATTTCTTCTGCTGTTACCTGGAATGTAGCTTGACATGCCCTCAGACTGTGTCTCTCCCCTGGTTAAACGCCATGACAATGACCCAGAAGAACGTCCCTCATTTTCACCTGTTTTACAAGGAAATAAAATCACCGAAATAATCTTAGAAGCTAAATGTAAGTTACATCTTCCCTAGAAAGTATTGCAATAAAGGTGTTAAAAAACATAATAGCTACCCAACATCATCCTCAGAACAACAAAAGATGGCATGGAAATGAAAACTATGATCTAAATTGATACAAGATACTGGTCTAATATGTAAGATCTGGTTGTGAGAAAACCATAATATTTTCATTGCTTCCTTGGAGTAAGAGATGTGAATTCTTGAAAAAACCTGCCAGAGAGTGATGCGACAACACCAAGCATGAACTCGTTAAGGACTACAGATATAGACACAAAAATGCCAACTCAACTGAAGTACTGATGTTGTGTCTCAAATAAACTGTTCTAACCAGATTTCAAAGCACGATGAGGGGTGAAGAACTGGGCAATTTCTGACACAAGTCGATCTTCCAAAAAGTGTCTTTTTGCCCACGGGAAAGCTGCTTGCCGCTGTCGGTTAATATCCATTATTATTGATACCAGCCAAGTCTCTCTACATCTGTTGAAAAATTTGTTTAATGACCTCTAATGTCCACATCAAATATTTCAATCTCAAACACAGTACTGTCCATACAGGCCTAATTAATTAGATAAATAAATGAGAGAGAGGAAGTAAAGAAAAGATAGAGAAAGTTAAAGAAAGATAGAGAAAGTGAGAGAGATAGAGAAAGTGAGAGAGAAAAGATATAAGAAAAAAAGAATAATGTACTGCATCTTCAAAAACTCTGAGTATACAAGGAGCAAAACTTTTACTCATGTTCTGTAGGAGTGAAGCAACAGTGATCTAGAGTGACAGGAAGCCAGCCAACACCCCACAAGGAAAAATATAAATAAGTAGAAAATATAAGTATCTCATGAAACCATGCAGGAAATGAAGCAGGCTACATGTTTACTTATGATCACCTAGATGCTTTTCTGTCATGGCCACCACCTTAATGGGGGTTACGGTACCAAAATAACTGAAGTCTAGTTCTGAGATGGGACACATACTGTAAACTCAGCTAATAGTTAAAACTGCCTGAGTCCCATGTATTATATCAATCTATCAGAAAAAAAAAGTTTGAACAGTAAGCTTCATTACATCTATGAGCTGAAACTGGGATATGCAGAAAAAGAGGAAAGACACTGGTGAACTGCAGAGTCAAATACAAATACTATACTGTACTTACTTTTTCCTTCTTTTGAGAACCTCCTTTTGTTTAGTGGTATATCGCCAAGTAACATCTACAACTTCATCTTTGGAAAAGCAATAACATATGTTAGCTTCTTGCCCCAGCCACTCTCATACATTAATGGAGAGTCTATCTTATTCTCACAGCAATCAGTATGCAACCATCGTCCTTGTGACTGAGAGAAAACTTCAGTCCAAACATGATCGGTATAATCATGTATGTATCTGTAGAAAAAATAGGTACATTCAACAAATAAATATATACATGCAATGACACAGCTCATAAAACTCAACACTTCAGCCTAAACTATTTGGACAAAAAAGTAATACAGTACACACCCTCTACCTATGACGGATTGTGCTCCAGGACCTCTTGAAAATTGCCAGGTATTTTTGAACTAGATGAAAAAGTGAAAGTGGGTCCAATAAGGACAGCATGAATATAGTACATGTTTTAACTGAGCCTCTGGTATATATAATGAAGCATTGTGGCCGGCACTGCACTCAGCTGTCTTCACAACCCCAATTGTAAAGTTTGGTAACCATTTACAGCGGGGTTGACTAGGAATGCACTAAGCACAGACCAACAACCCTTGAGACAGGAGTCAGTACTGTATCCACTCAGCTGCTACACCTCTTTATGAACAGAAAACACACAGAGTAAGCCCTCCCTTCATAATGGTCAGGGTTTAAGTTTCTGGAAAACCTTACAAAAGCAAATTTTGCAAATGTGAATACCTTGGTTCAGTGGGGAAAATGCAAATACCGTATATACTCGTCTATAACCCCCTTCAGTATATATAGGTCAATTTTATTTTTTGACCAAGAATGTTAATTTATGATATTCCTCGTTTATAGGTCGACCCAAGTTTTTAGGGTAAAGGAACAAACAAAACCTTCAGAAAACACTACATCCTATAAAGCTTGTTTATCATGTATTAATACGACACTTTACACTGTGAAATGCTGAGTAGTTTCAACAAAAATATTGTATATTTCCATTCAAGTACTTATTCAAGTCAATTAGGAGGGAATATTATTGTAATACAATAGTTTTTTAACTGAAAACCAGCGTTGACATATTTTGAGCGAAAAAAGCAAAAGTCATTGTTTTAAATCCGGGTGCTTATCCACTTTCCCGCACCAATATGTCGTCATTTCAGCAAAAATATACATTTCACAGATGTATTATATCAGCCACAGTATAAATAGAATATCACGAATATAACAGTGTACAACTGAAAACTATTAAAAAAACAGTAACATCTCTTGAACATCGGGAAGGGTTTGGTAAGTCTTTTATTTCATCATATGATTTCTCTAATTTACATTAGAAATACATCAACGTTTCGGCAAAACAACTATTTATTTACGAGAATGTGGAAATGTAATATTTTTGCTGAAATAGCGTGCGTATTATATATAGTGGAAAGTGGGATAAAATATTGACAAGAAACTGTGTTTCGCTTTTCTTCGTTGAAAGATGTTACGTAATGCTACCGAATGGTTTTCAGTTAAAAGCTGTTATATTAATATTCTATCTAATTCACCAATATTTGTAACAGTTTTTTAACTGAAAAGCGATTGAAAAACCGATGTGCGATCTAGCTGATCTGACAGAGCCCTGGTCAGCGGAGCTTTGTGTTTTCATCGGCCCTTCTTAAGCAACTTTTTAATTTTTAAGCGTCACGTTAAAGTGTGTTTACGATATGTTCTTATTTTCTTGCTTCATATTTTCCAGAAATATGACAAGTTTGTATATAATACAATGTTCGGTACTTTTAATTTACAAGTATTCATTTTTAAATACAGAAGACAAACAAATACCAGTACTCGGTTATTTCGTGACTCTCCGCCAAAAAAAGACCAAACAGCTGGTACTCTCTCCCTCCAGCCCTACCAAAATAAGCTCAAACATCTTTCTTGTTTTATTCTCTTAATTTCTCTCACTTTTAACTGGTATTTTTACTTCATATTACTTACCATCAGATAAACTACAAGTAATTGAGGTTAGACACTGTTATAAATTTGATTACCCGGGTCCTGGCAGGTGCCGTTAAAACCACCTGACCCTACCAACTGTTGCAAGTCAGACAACATTTTTTAATCATCCATGTGCGAGAAAGGATGGATGGATGAAGGCGGCATAAATATGGCTTAAAAAAATCTGGGACTTTAGACCGGGGGGACTCGCATAAAGAAAAAAGTCTTTTTGTGTGGGATATGTTTTGGTCACATCTTGTTGACAGTGATGTTACTGCTGGGATTAGGAAGAAAACACTGATACAGCTGTAATTCTGGTGGATTAACAAGTCTTGTCCAACCGCTGGATGTTTCATAAACAAACCATTTAAAGATGCGGTAGAGTGAAGTGAAACAACTGGATGATAGAAGGCGATAAGACATACACAAAGGGAGGCAACATCAAGCTCCATCACTAGCAACATTATGTGAATGGATGAGGGCCTGGGATGCAAGTAAGACCAGAAATTGTGAGTGAAATGCTTTTAGAAATGTTGAATTTCGAATGCTCTTGATGGAACAGAAACTGACTTGTTGTGGGATTATGAGGCTAATGAGGCGTGAATAAGGATGAAGATATTGATGATCCTATGGCTGATGATGGTGTTGATCCATATGTGATGCTGTTCAAGGAGAGGACTGGGAGGCTGTTTGGTGCTGCAGATGATAAGAAGCATTTTGATGGATTTTAATGAAAATATTCAGAAATATGGGTATAATATTGTATTTATTCAAGTCAGTGAGATAGAACGTTGTTGTAATACAACGGTTTTTAGCAAAACCATTGACGTTAAGTAAAAATCTTTTGAGCAGCCGAAAAGAAGTCATTGTTTTTGTCTAATTTATCCACTTTCACTGTGTCGTTACATCATTTCCTTAAAAATATTACATTCCATATTTATTTCTGAGAATATATTCATTCAGGCACAGTTAAGGTAAAATATACTTGTGATGTAATATTTTAATGAAAATATTTATAAATAAGTGTCGTATTTTTCTTTTGTTTTCAAATTTATTAACAAATTGATGTTTCAAATTTAATTAACAAAATTTATGTATATATAAATAAAATTTAAAAAAAATACTTTTATATTTTACATACTCCTGTGCATACCATACCATGCATTTATTACTTTGGGCTTGCTATGATGGCCTTAAAGAGATCTGCCCTAGCAACTGTGCGACTTACTCTGGTAATTGGTCTTGCGTTGATGCGTGGATTTCCATTGTTTACTGGTAGTTACTGGTAAATATTTTCAACTAATGAAACTATTACCGATATAGAGGTCGACCCCCAACTTTTTGCCAAAAAATTTGGTCTTAAGAACTTCGGTGCTATACACGGGTATACACAGTAGGTTACAGGGTCAGACTCACGAGCACACATTCATTCTCTGCAGCTACAAGGGCACAGTAGGTGATACAATACTACATAGTTGCCACAAAAAGCGTTAATACTAAACTTACACACACACACAGTACAAGATAACTGTAGCCTGAAGCTTAACTTGTGAGACCCACAGCAGAAAATTAAAAAAATGTATTTATGAAAACTTTTACACTGCTGTTGGCATGTAAAGAGCTTGCCATTATTTCTATTCCATCTACAAGAATTGCATCCCTGGAAACCTGAACATAGGGACTAAATGGTAAATATTTAAAAATAAAGGTTTAAATAAATAATTATATTGTACAGTAATACCCGCTTTACTCGGGTTTTGCTTTACTGCTTTACTCAGGGTTTTTTTACTACGCGGGTTTTCCTTTACTGCTTTACTCGGGTTTTTTTACTCGGCGCACCTATTCTACATTTACGTGCGTATTCTCATGCGTATTCTACCGTATTCTCGTGTGTATTCTGGCGTATTCTACATTTACTCGGTACCCTGCCAGAACCGGAATCTACTCATATACGCGGGTGAAGTATAATTTTTTTATTTAGCTCATAAAATTCATACAAATTACCCGGCCAGAATATAATTTACATTGCTGGAATTCTTACAATTTGATGATCATTTTGTATAAACATCATAGATTTTGCATTAGACATACAAATTTTATATCTTGTAAGTATTTTGTTTACTCTGAGTAAATATGTTATCTTTTTGTGAAACATATTACATTTATATTCAAAATATTCCTGGTCTTGCAAGGAATCCAGCAATGTCAATTATATTATCCTAACTTTAGTTTGAGGTATTATTTATTACTATACCTTAAAATCCAGTGTTTCCCAAACATTTCTGAGAGAGGGAGCCAGCGGGTGTGAGGAAGGGAGGGGGGGTGGTTGAGTCCATTATTTGAATGGACATTAACTTGCGACTGTATTTCTCTATTTCTCTTAAATATTAATTGTGTGTGTGTACCATCATAAAATTAAGATGTTATTTTTACTAGAACATAGGTATTGTGTCTGGAAAAATTGGAGTTTGGGGTTCAGCCAGGTCTCTATTTCAATTAATCCCATATGTTATGTTGTTCACTTTCAGGCGGGCCCGTGGGTTCAATTGACCGAGGGTTCACTGTAGTGTGTTTTCTATTTACCTTTGATGATGATATGATAATGGTGGTGTTAAAGAGGAAATGAGATAATCTCACATACAGCCTTTTTTGTTTCTCTTTATGTACCAGACTCCTTTACACCAAAATGCCTGCCAACTTCAGTCACACATGCATTGTAGCCAGCCTATCTTAACACATTCACTTTTTCACTTAAATCATAATTTTTTTGTACCTCTGTCCATTAGGCTCACCTTCCCCATTCAGCTTAAAATGAGAGAGGATGGACATAATGGGCATGTGGGGTGCATCCCTTGAATAAAGAATTTGTATACATTCAGCAATTTGCAAATACTAGGAGCTTAAGGGATTGATTTTCATACCTTGCATCCATTCCAAGAGTGCGACAAAAGAGAGTAAAGCAGTTGGCCCATTCTCCACAACGACCCTTCCTTGTCTCCAATAGTTTACCAGGGTGATTGTATCGTGGAAAGCGGTCTGAAGTTCCACAGCTCTGAAACAGTAAAATGTATGGAGTTGGTGAGATCGTAATACCTGTATCCTCATTCCAAATATATGTATCTCTCTTTCCGTCTCCTGTTCTTAAACTTCCACATACCTTTGTGGTTGCATTTACTATAGCATTTCCCAAGTGCAATGAAAAACCAATTCATATACAGTGGTCCCTCGGTTAACGAGCACAATTCGTTCCAGTAGGTTGCTCGTTAACCGAAAAATTCGTTAACCGAAACCATTGTTTCAATGGATTTTTGGGTAACTGGTTCCAGCTCACCGAAAATTGCCTAAAGTCAACAAAAAAGGTAAAAAGTACACTTATTTTGAGGTGTGTATGTAGAAGGCTCCTGGATGATGATGATGGGAATTAGAATGGGGTGAAGGAAAGGAGAAAGATGGCATTGGGTTGGAAGAGAAGCCTCATGGTGCCATTTCACCCATAAAATTTTAGTTCATGGTGTAATTCAAGATTATTTTCTTTTAAATCAACACTGCAGTGCATTATATATTGTCAATATGTAAAATAAATTTCAAAATGACCAATAATTTGACTGGAAACACAGAAAAAAGCTTTATGTTGAAGACTGAAGCAAGATGTTACCTCCACTGAAAGACACAGAGACTGGCCTCTGTATGGTGTGTTGACAGGCTGTTTGGGCAGCTAAAAACTAGTTTCCTGTACTTAAATTATGTTAAATAATTGTTAAAATAACTAAAATTTTAATGTAAGACTTTTAAAATTATTGAATAGTACAAACTTCTTGATATTTACTAAAATAGTAAGGAATTTAAGCCCTAGAACCGATTACTGTATTGGCAGACTAATACTACAGCTGGTGGGCAGCCAAATGCAGGTGAAAACATGTTGGGAAAAATTAATAAGGAATTCCTTAATCGAGGGAATGCTCATTAACAGAAATTAAGAATCTTATGGAAGGTAATTCGTTAACCGAAATTTCGTTAACCGAGGGATCACTGTACACTCCTTCATTTATGTCAGCACCACAAAAATTTTCACAAAATTTCTCTCATACCTGTACTGTACTTGTGTTTTCATTCAGAGTTCTAGATCACGCTGTGTGCCCTTTTACCAAAAATTACAACCTTCCCCTCCCAGTCTATACATGTAGCATGCAAAGCAATTGCCAATTTTTTTTACTTCATCTAATCTAAATCTTTTTGAGCATCTTTTATATTAACAATATGCATCTTTAACCATCAGACTAAATCCCTTCTCTTGCATATCAAACATAATCCTTTACATTTAATCAAATTCCACTCACAAGTTTTTCAACACAATGAACAACATTCTATAGAAAAATATAACAAAGAAACTTGCTGTTTCAAAAATTCTGCCATAAAACTAATATTAACCTAATATATGACCAGTTTTATTATTATTCTCAGGAGAAACAATGACTTACCTGGCATGAATAACTCTCTACACGACCCACAGCCCACAAAAGATCATCTTCTGTGGCAATTTATCAACAAGCTTCATTTTGCACTGGCACTGTGGACATGTTGGGGCATCAAACCACCTGAAGAAATCATTTTTGAACCAAGCCAGTAACTCCACTAGCACAAAGTCCTGTAAATTTACAAGAGAGAAAAATAGAGAAAACTCAAATATATTATCAATCTATTGCTGTACATTTAATCCACTTCCACAAATGAGAAAACAAATAATTAATATTCACAATTCAACTTACATCCTATAATAATTACTGTAGTAACCTCTCCATTCAAGGACAGTGAATACAGCAACAAATGGTCCAAGGGGCCTCAGATCACTCCATAAAAGTAATCTTAAAATCTATCGATTAAGCTTCATGCCCTGGGCAATGTAACAGTAGCTGGAACCCCCATGCGAGCTTATTTTGACAAGAAATTATAAGAAAAAAATCCGTAAAAACTGGTATTTCAGGTGTAAAATTATTGGTTACTGTTATAGCTGATGTGCATGTGGTCCCCTACGTCCACAGCCACCACAAACTCGCTGAGGGGATAGCAGACGGGGTAAGGAGGGGGAGTGAGCGCCATTGTCTGTATCACTGTCCTCATCGTTGGTCGCCTCAAGAAACTCGACTTCATCTGGGTCTGCTTCCTCCCCATCACTGTCTTTGTAACACAATACTACAGGTACTCCTCGACTTCTGACCGCCGCAGTGTAATACGTAAAATATTTTTCAAATTACGTATTTTCGAGTCCCGACGTTAGTGATCGCGCTGTGTACTGACAGTGAGAGTTCTCATGGTGCTGAGAAGAAAAAGAGACACCCATTTTAGATTTTCTATGTATTTTACATGTTCGACCTGGTCGTCGGTTCCTAACCCCGTCGTAAGTCGAGGACTGACTGTATATTAATGCCACTCAAATCAGGCAACTCTAGATGAATAGCACTACTATCGAGAGTATGGAGGAGCGAGGTGGGTCACGAGATGTTGAAGGACGTGCATCCATCATGATAGATGGTAGGTAACTGGACCACTACACTCGTGACAAAGATTACATGCGAGTTGAGTTGCTGGCAAGAAATATCCTTTACAAAGTACTTCGCCCTGCCTTGAAATTCAAACTATGCTGCGAAAATTAAGGATGTAGAGGAGTCGCCCCAGTGTCGCGATGGTGGACGTAGAGGAACATCACCTGGGCTATAAGGGTTAAAAGATAAAGGAATTGTAAATTTTTGTTGGGACATCATCTCTTGATGAACCTAACTTGCCACATCCCAACTATCACATGCGTCAATTTTTGCATCAAGTCTTTCAGAAGCTCAGTACATGTTGATTTATTTCCTTTGTTTGCCACAGCCTTCAAACAAATGTCATGAAAAACACCTAATAGTCAAACATAGGAAACATTATCATAAAAAAAAGTTTATAAAAATTGGTAAATTCAAAAGGTGCCCATACATCAAAGAAAGTGACAATCCTTAAGGTCACTGGCATAGGACACATGCACTTAATTTTTTCTATCAAATACAGTACCGGTACTGTACAATAAAAAAAAAGCAAACAAATAAATATAATTGTACCTGGAAGTGTGGACAACATAATATAATACAGTACAGTACAGTACAGTATAAATCCAATAATACCTGAAAATCCAATGGTTTCTCATTGTTCCCAACAACATCCTTTTGCATACTGGATAATTTGCTCCTTGCACGTTCATGTAGATGTTGCACTGGCAAAACTTGCCGCGGCCTTCTCTTGCAATGATGGACTCTCATATATGAGCACTCTTTCAAATTCTCGAGTAAGAGTGGCTCTAAACTCTGATTCGCTTTCCTGAAAGAAATGAGACAATTACTATAACTATAACTGAACTAAGTCAGTGTACAGTAACCTACAAACTACACCTATCTATAACAGGTGACACATCAGTACCAGGGACAAACAAAAGAATAAAGACTATTGACAGAAAAGATGGAAAGGGTTCTAAACTAACAGGGAATGTCTTTCACTGTAAAAATTCCATTTCTTTACCTACAGAGTCAGTCTTATGAAAACTCATGAGTGCTTGGCCATATGAAAGACAGGGAATGTGACCAAAGACTTACTGGTTCTCTTAATGTTGCAACGGCTTAAAGAAAATTGGAAATATGTCATTCATAAAGTGTCCTTATTTATCAGCATGATAAAACCAATTTTACCAATTTACATGTTGTTTTATTACCTCTTCTTGGATACTGCTCTACTGTATGGGGCTCTCATCCTGATAACAATCATAAACTATCAGACATGATACTCTATCCTAAAGTGTACAATGCATTTTTCCTCAAAATGAGAATTAAAATCTTTAACACAATAGAAATCTTTTCTTTTGTGTTCCACACGATTTATTTTAGTAACTTTCATCCACTTTTAATAAACCCACACCACATTTTTCCTCATGATTCATGATGAAGAGGGGTTGCATCTTTATTCCACAAATGAATCTAAATGAATCACAGCTTAATATGGTGTTTTGTCAAACAAAGTTAAACTAAGGAACAGCCTTTTACTGGGTTTCTTTGATTTAAATACAGGTTACTGTTCAATTTACAAAAGTGAATATAGTTGGAACTTGCCAAGTTGGAGGCTGTTCCTGTCTCAAGCTGACTATATAGTATAGTACTGTATAAATAACTGTAATCACGTAATCACTTTTTACATTTTAACACTTGTAAAGGGAATGGGGTAGGGGATTAATGGTTCACCTGTTACTGACTTAACCTGATGCAATGTCAGGTCATCCATTGTCAGGGTGGGGGATTAGTGGGTCTCATGACCTGAAGATGTCCTGAATAAAGACAAAAGCTAAGGTGCTCTAGTGCAGCATTTCTTAACCGGGGGTCCAGGCCTGTAGAAAGCTGCTAAGGAGTCGTGGTACTAGAGAAAATTTATTGAATCAGTGCTTCTGTTTTCTATTACCTGCCTCAATATTTTAAGTACCGTATATACTTGTCTATAACCCCCTCGTTTACGGTTCAACCTGATTTTTGACCAAGAAATCGTTAATTTATGATATTCCTCGCTTTATAGTTCAATTCACGTTTTTGGGGGTAATATAACAAAACCTTCAGTAAAAACGCCCTCGTCCTATAAACTGAGGCTCGCCGTGCCTAAAACACGAGTGCCGAAGGCAAATTGTTTACCATTTATTATTACGACACTTTACACTGAAACGGCGGGTAGTTTCAACAAAAATATTGTATATTTCCATTCAAGTAACAGTCAATTAAGAGATATTATTGTAATACAACACTTTTAACTAAACCTTGAAAAACGATTACGGTAACATCTTTTAAAGCAGAAAGAAAGTGAAAGTCATTGTCTTCATCACGATTTTATCACTTTCCACTGTAATCGTCGTAATTTCAGCAAAATATTACATTTCAGTGAATGTATTATATCAAGCACAGTATGAATAGAATATCATTGTAATATAACAGAATTTTAACGAAAACTATTAAAACGAGTAACATCTCAAGAACATCGGAAGCTTAGGTTAAGTCTTTTTTTAGTCATGTATTTCATCCTATTTTACATTGAAATACATCACGTTTCAGCAAAACTACTATTTATTTCCGAGAATATATTCATTCAGACAGTTAAGGTAAAATATACATGTGATGTAACAGTTTTTAACTGAAAACGATTCGAAAAACACGTGTACCATGTAGCTGATACACAACAGCTGGTGATGCGTCATCGTCGTTATAACAATAGGAGGTTGAAGTAGATTACGGGTTATTATATGAAGTGTGAAATATCGAGGTTTTTATTACCGGTATTTTTGTAGATCAATGAGAACTGTGATACCGTATATGATATGATAAGTTAGCCTCGTTAAGAACTTCAATATAGACTACTGAAAGCACGTTGTAAAGTAATTTAGCCTGTTGTAAGTTGGTGAGCTTCATTTGCTGAAGGAACTGCACACTTTTCATTACTAATTGGTACATATTTTAAGTTTCCATTGTTTACTGGCAGTAAATGGTAAATATTTTTCATGTCTGAAGCTAAAAGTTGCTCCTCGCCCTTCCCATCATGCACGGGTTCAACCTAACAAAACTATTACGCATGTATAGGACGACCCCAATTTTTGCCTAAAAATTTGGTCTTAAAAACTCGAACTATACACGAGTATATACGGTACGTATGTAAAATTTATTATGTTAAAGTCCTCATTCACCTTTCAAAACTTCCCTCCTTTGCAGACCAATAATCCATTTTTTTCTCTTAAAAAATAAAAAGACAAAGGGTTTACATTTATTCACAGAGCAATATCTGGCTAAACATAAGAGATACATACCTCGAAGAGAGGCGTCACAGTATTTGAAAGACCTCCCTTGACAGCTGTTCGAGATTTCTTCAATTGCATTTTTTTCAACAGCATCAGCTGTTGTCGGTACTGACGTAAATTGTCAAGTGGATCATCTATTGGAAGAACCAGTCTATCTTCTCCCTAAAATAACATTCCTTGTTGCATAGTAGTTCAAGAGGGCTCTAAACCGAGTTTTATTTTAAACGTTATAATTTTTTTCAGTTTTTTCAACAAAGACAACAATTAAAATTACATATGTATAATCTTACCTCCTGAAACCCCATAAGGAAGAGAACTTCTAAGGCACCTATTGCAGGGATCAACTTCTGCTCCACCACACCACTACTCAGATTAACATTACGAAATTTCTCATTGGATGGATCCCTCAGTATGTTGTCAGCACCAAAATTAAAACAATTTCACAGTAAATCTAATTATGTATACATACAGTCTATGGAATACAGTAGAATATAGTCTGAAACAATACAGTATAAGTAAAATCAAACATCAGTTCTGTATCTCTTTAAATCTGGGTCTGTCTTTAAGAATTTGTTCAATTAAGAGAGTAGTTCAATAGGGGTGTGCCCATTTCGTCACCAACCCGTTTCGTCACCACGTTCATCCCCATTTCAAGGGCTTTGGACCTTCATTATGTATTCAATGAAGCAGTGAAGACGTAATGGCTGGTTTACTATCTTTGTGTACAAACTGTTACGACCTTCCTTTTTTCAGAAGCAGTAGACATCTCGCAAGTGTTGTCGAATTATCACTGGCTGTCCTGCCAGTCTCCGGTTATTTCTCAATGAGCGGTATCGGTGTGCAGACAAACAACAGGCAGGTAGAGTTCCACCAGCTCATAGAAACACACTTGTGCACTGTAGTTCCTCTTTAATAAACACTAATTCTTCACAACACTGTTAACAGGGCAACGTCTTCACAGCTTGACTCCACACCAATATATAGTCGGCACACTACCAGTGTACAATTCCTTAGTCTTCTCATTTTATATTAATCACAACAATTCCACAATATTTTCGAGGCTCACAATAATAAGTAAATCATAAAAAAATAATGCAATTCATTCTAGAAAATCCTTGCATAATTAATACATCAATATATACACAAAAATTTTACTAAATGTGCCAAAATAACTATTGCTTGGGATAGAAAATAATCAAAACACCTAGTTTACAAAATTGTAATACAAAATTAAGCTTCGGCATAACAATACACTGGATCATGCAAGCATCTCACGAAGACAATTTACTGAAGACTAAAGCAAAACAAAAATAAAAACATTGTTAATACGCCTGCATTTGATCAATATTTTGTTTATTTACCATTGTTTTAATAATTTTCTTTTTAAATAATTAATATTCATGTATAATAATAACAATAATTCTCGAGTCATCTGTATACATGTGTAATTTCTATTCGTGTAAAATAATAACTTACAATTTGTCACTCTAATACTAACGGTCTGATAGTGGTGACGAACCGGGTTGGTGACGAACCGGTTGGTGACGAACCGGTGGACAACCGGTTGGTGACGAACCGGTTGGTGACTTAACCGGTTGGTGACGAACCGGTTGGTGACGAACCGGTTGGTGACGAACCGGGTGGTGACGAACCGGGTTGGTGACGAACCGGGTTGGTGACGAAATTGGAGGTAACCGTTCAATATACAGTATGTATATCATGTTGACTTACCCAAAAATCAAATACTATACAGTAATGTACCTGTAGAAAACCCATAAAATTACAACATGACACTTCAACAAAGTTGCTTTTATTGGTACCAGCTATCATAATAAACACTTAGTTTAATAAGGCTAGTTAGTTAGGTAAGGTCTGGTAGGTTTCTCTGGGTGGCTAGGTTAGGTTCTACTTATTACTGTATTATGGTAAAAACATCTTTGGAAAAAATGAACTAAATCGAACAACTCCTTCTGGTGGTGTGAAACTTTTCTTGTTAACTGTTAATTGTAGATAATATTCTCGATACTTGGCTATTGGCAACAAAGACAATAATACCTCATGGAATGTTCTCAACTACTGTATAACATAAACAATTATATTTTACCTTTAGTAGTGTATCAACAGCTGCATGTAATAGATCTTCATCATTATCTAGTAAAGATTCTACACAACCAGACGTGGCCATGGTCAAGAGAAATAATATACCACTTCCTGGAGCTGACACACGTCGTCTACTGCGCCCTTTACTGCTCACATATCATTATGACATCAGCGAAATAGTATAGTATCAGAATAGTCTTTTTCTTCTTTTTTGAATGAAGTGTTTGAAAAAATCGTTTTCTTTTCAACTTATAAGCCTCTGCCGTTTACCAGTGATCATAAAGCAGAGATAAATGACTACAGTTCACTCCTCTCACAGGGATCACTCGTGTAAACAATATACCTATCAATTCCTTCTTTAGCAATGGCTTTAATAGTTAACGTAGCTCAAAATAAACTTTTTTATAGTGTATTTTTCCTTTTTTATGATTTTATGAGTACCGCTGCATTGAGGATAAAATTTTTTTTAGCGCGTTCTTTAAAAAGTTGATCACTGCCATCAGGTAGCACTCAACCCACAGTCTCGACGGTGTGGTAACTTATTCAATATTGTATAAATGTTTTAAGGTTGAGTTATACTTCTTATTATTAGATATTCCTTGGTTATTTTGTTTTTTGCTTTAGTTTTATGTTCTTATCTTATTACAGTAGTGTACTGTAATATGCTTCAATATTTTAGGTCTTTAAACACTTAATTGTTTGTAATTATACTAGCTTGTCAATGATAAAAATTGTGACACTTACAACACAATTTATGTATCTCTTATTTTGTCATTATTGAAAACTATAGGCTGTACTGTATTTACTACTGAAATACAAGCGAATATCTATCAAGATCAGAAGACTTCCCAAGCTTCATAGGTGCATTTGGAAAGGCTTCTCAGTGCCACGATTTGACACAAGGCTATCGATAATAATCAATGATATGGATGGCCTTAATATATTGGTTCACATTGAAGATGGACGTCTTATACCTGTACCAGTTTACAACAGCTATTGATTGGCTTTTCAAATCCAGGTCCTTGTCACGTGTACCCATGTGTAAGTGGGGTGCCACATGATAGTGCTTGGACTGTTGTTTCTCAAATGATATACCAGACGCTATTCACTCTTCCATACAAATGTTTGCAGATAATGTTAAGCTATTCAGAGAAATTAATGAGCAGAAAGAGTGGAGTTACAGAAAGACCTCTATTGCCTTAAGGTGTGGTCAAACGAATGGATGCCGAGACTCAACATTCCAAAATGCAAGATTTTGTACCTTGGTTGAACCAATAGCAAGCATATCTCATGTCCCACCAAGATTAACAAGCACCATCAAGTGAAACCTAATATTAAAAGGACCTGGGTGTTTATGCTGACAGCATACTCAAGTTCTTGAATCATTGTGAGAAGAAGGTAAATCAGGCAAATGAATTAGTAGGGCTTATATGATCAGCTTATTAGATGTTTGGTGTCTATGTTAATGTTCACATCACAAAACATACTGTGTCACCAATTTAATCAGAATGTTATTACCCAAGAATCTCACGTCTGGTTATGACTTTTGGTAGCTCTGGTATCTGGTAATGCGGAACGCAGGGCTGTACGTACTGTATTCCTAAACAGTACAGTACAGTACTGCTCTGTATTTAAATTCCCCTTCTATTGTAACTGTTAAAAAAATAAAAACAAATACCTTAAGACTGTACTATACCCTGTATGTTACAAAGAATTTGTAAACAGCCATATTATTTGGTTTGTACAGAACAGTACCAAAAGTAGAGAAAATAAAAAAAATAAAAAATTAGAATCACTTTTATTTTTAAATTATAGAAAAAATATGAAACAATGTCTTGTTTACAAACTATGAATTTCCTCACTCAGAAGACTGTATAGACATCACAATATTAAACTACATACAGAAATGTCTAGTGCAAGATATTAATTGAGTCGTTGCCTATATGAAGGGCGACCGTGTGAAACAATACTTTTGAACAAAAATGTGACTAAAATTGTTTTCTATTCCTATCTATAACTCACACAAATCTCTATAAGTTTTCATGTTTTATTCTCACTTTGTAGTGTTTGGGTAATACTTCATAAATATACATGAGAAAAATGTACACCATTCCATAATAATGTACAGCGAGTTCTGCTATAACGCGTGTTTTGATAACGCGAATTGGCTCTAACGCGATTTATGAATAGAGGAACGATATTTTGTATAACGCGAACGCTTGTTTGCTGTAACGCAATTTTTACTTACTAGTTCTCCAATTTTGTGGGATAAACTGTGAATATGGTAAAGAAGAATATCTCCAAGAAGCGTTCTGGTGATCGCATTCCTGGTGATGATCGTAAAAGAAAGGATATAACACTTGAAGAGAAGCTCGATGTTATCAACCTCAACATCAACCTTCTCCCCCATCAAGTTTTATTCATATTTTTTCAAGGTAAAGTGTTACATTTACTGTATGATTTCATTATTAGATATGAATGTAACATTTATTTAGACTGTGCTATCCTTTGTGTTAGGCTAACTACTAATTTTTTTCGATTTCGAGTAATGTAGTAATCTGCACCTAACCCTATTTTCTCCATAAGCCGTTATTTCTATTACGCGATTTTCTATAACACGATATTTTACAAGAACACAACTATCGCGTTATAGCAGAACTGACTGTAATGCCTGGATGCTAATAACTGCTTTATCGTAATGATAAAACACTATAAAATGCACATGAAAAAAGTTTAAAATGATGTGGTCATACAAAACTGTATATGTTATGGTGCGTAGCACCCTACTTGGCTGATCTTTCATTCACCTCTGTGTAACATTTTTGGAAGAAGTTTTGGTACCACTGGTTAGAAGAGCGAAGCATCACATGCTAGAACATGGGTCTGGATACATGAAACCATAGAACACAAATTTTCCCTAAAATGGTTAGGTTACCTTTCTCAGAGGCAACACCTAAATTGTAATCATATGCTGTGAATAATGCAATAATTATAATAACAAAAATATATTTGATCCATACCACTGAATAATGAAATTTGCAAACCACATATGAGCCTCCTTTAATTTTAAATGAAAATTAGTTACATAACTTAAATATGGTATACAGTAATGTATAACTAGCATCTCCTTGGGCATACTAAATACTGACCTCACTAAAGAATCATCCTCTTTACTTATTTCACAACAGTGTTTCCTTGAATGATAGACGTTGACTTAGGCTACTATCTGATATCAATCATGGCATATGAAGCCAATGAAATCACAATATAAAATGTACACACTCGATTAATGAGTCTGATATATCCTGGAAATTAAGCCAAGATAAAGTACTGTACTCCAAATATGGTACAGGTAGCAATGTGCTTTTAAAATCTTATTAGAAATGAAACCTGCAAATACACATAAGACCTTCGTATTAATCTAACTGATTCATCAGCAATATCCACCATTTTACCTCAATGAGTTTAGTTCATTAACAACAGAAACACCCCCCCCCAGTAGGTCTTTATTATTCAATTTGAATTATACCATTTTAGCTTCTGGAACATATGGTACATGTCCTTACTATTTTTATGTCCAAGATACATCCTATAAAATTTAGAGTACATATCTTGGTCATAAAAATAGTAAGGACATTTGGAGTTTAAATGTTAATTCTTGTAACCATGTTTGAAGCTCATTGAGATCACTCTCCAAGTTTTCAGTCAGTTAAATTTTTAATTTCTCTATAAAACTTTCAGGTCACGACCAAACATTTTTATGCATGAGAGAATAACATATGGCACCTCATTTATGAAATTGACAAACAATACCATTAATTTATGTTGTAGCTGCTGCCAAGTCCAATTTTAATCCTTTCATAAGATACACTGTCAAACACCTAGGCAAATCAAGGGATATATTATCAATATTATTATCATGCTTAAATATTTAAGATCAAACATCCAAAAAAACAATCCTAATTACTATTGTCAGTTACACAATTAAGCCAGGAGGTAAACTTAATGTTATATTCTTCATGAAAGCTCCATACACCAATACTTAGCTGGCAATGTTTTGAAGCAGTGGAAATAATATGCATACGGTACCTTGATTTAATTTTCAGATCAGAATAAATGTCTCTGCTTTTTTTCTAAATACAAAGATTGTTTTAAAAACAAAGGATAACAAGAATCTCAACATTTACCAATAAGTTTTTTAATTAATTTTGCTGTAGCTGAATTCATATATTTTTCCACACTTCATAAAACTTCATTGTCAGTGGCTGTCTGGCAAATTTTCAAGGTTATCACAGTACAGTATTGTCATAATAAAAAGATAGGTCTTTGTCCAACAAGGCAAATACTCCTGATCACCATTCTAGACCAGAGCATTCAAGTCTTTTGTCACAACAGAAAGATTCACCACATACCAAAGCATGAACTCTCAATACAGGGGTACTTAAAATCCAATTAATTTACTCATTTGTTATGGCACTAGAGAAAATATTTTCACTTACACTGAGGAAAGAAATTTCAAATTGATCATCACTAAATCTGTCTACAGAATTCCTAGCTGCAATACGTATATTATCTCTTCCTTCATCAGTTAATTCAAAAATAGTTTTCATTGCCTGTGCATATGATTCAGCATCTGTGGCTAAGTAACCTGTTTGTTCACCCTCATATTCAATAACAATGTCCATCTTTGGTCCACCAGAGTCATGGGCCACCATGAGGAGTCCTCCTGCCATACTTTCAACAACACATATACCAAAATGCTCACACCACATTGTATGTAGACCAACTGTCCCATTCTGAACACATTCTAAAAGCTCTGCAAAAGATGCATTTAGTTTCCAAACAATTTTGTCTTCAATTCCTAGTGTTGATGCAAGATTCTTTAAATTTTCTACCCTTTGATGATCTTCCTCATTCCTACAGCCACCAATTAACACAAGCTGAACAACCTCTACAGTAGTTGGATCAAGGATTTCACACAGTCTTTGAAAAGCTTTCAGCTGTAGAGTGTGATCTTTTTCTGGACGAAACTGGCCAATAGAAATAATTGTCTTGAATTTTTTCTCCAAATCTCGAATCCTGGGCAAATTCTTGAAGTGTTCAGTGTCACATGGTGGATACACAATGTGTGTATTATGAGTTTGTCCCCAGAGTGCTGTGATGTGCCCGTGTGTCCAAGAAGAGTTCACCATCACCAATTTAGCACAACGTCCAACTAACGCATACATTAGCGCAAATAGGTGATAGTAACCCAACTTTAACATACTGAAAACAATATTTCTGGCAATAAATTCTCTATTATTATGGGATTCAACTCTGTTTGCAACCTGTCCTAGCATGTCGGTGCTTATTGTTGGATAGTGTGTGTAACAACCTACTGTACACCCACCAATGAAACGAAATACTGGGTATGTGAAGGCATAACCCATGGAGTCCATATATATATCTGGACGAAACTTGGACAAGGCCTCACCAGCCAAAAACACAGATCCTACACTCTGCATCATAAGTGTAAGGAAAGGATAGTGTTTCGCCTCAACAAGGGTACGGCTATTAAGAAATATGAACTCGATTGGTCGTGGCAAAACAACATTGAACCGCTGTTGAGCTTTTTGAAGAATCTGCTGAGGGGTAACATCTGTGTCTCCTGTATACACGTAGCATTTGACATTCTGGTACCTGAAAAAAAACCAGTAAGACTTTAACACTATATATAATTCAGTACAGTATATATATTGGGCTCAGAAACCGAAAAGCGACTAAAACGCGTTGTGGTTGTTTTAAAAATAATCAGAAAGCAAAATTTGCGTCTTGGATTTTACCCAAACTTAACCCAATCCAAACTAATCTAACCTAAAGCAAAATCTCACTTCTGGTTATTTTCCAAGCAACCACAACTTGTGGTCGCTTTTCGGTTTCTGAGCCCAACACATACAGTACATATACAGTATATCCACACAAGCCTCCCTCTGTATGTAAAGTGGTTCTATTAGTAAAGCCTTACCCATACAAGTAAAGAGTCACAGGTTTTGTATTTGACCAGCTTGATGAGATGGGTTCTTTCCTCTTACACTACTCTTTGTGTATTTAGCAATAAATGAATATACTCTCAGGTGCACTTGATGATAGTGAAAAATCATCAATGGTGAAACAAAACTTTAGCAGGCTAACATACTGCTATGGGTAACCCACTAACAGGAAATTATCATCTCTCCAGTCAGGCTGTATCATTCTGTATCAGATTACCATACTGTACTATGAACCAAGCTGTTTTATTTGCACCTAAATCAATTTAGCTTAAAATGTTTAAAATTATTTAGCAAGGATCTTTTTTCACAGACACCGCATAATATTTTTGCAAACCTACATTAAACTTTCATCGCATATTTTTCTGATTTAAGGAAACCGTACTTGAGTCCACTGTTACTTCATGCAGCTTCATCAATCAAACTAATTAAAAAATTAATTGTCAAAGGATTTATCCAAACATTATATCTGCAAACTCATCATCACTCAGCAAGAAGCAAAGAATAACATCTGATTTGACACATTCACTAATAATTACAGAAAATCAAAATTAAACCTTTTATTTCTTATTTTACAAATCATAAACATTTTAGGTTTTTGCAAAGATTAATCTGACTAAAGAGAAAAAGACTATCAATATTAATGGGGATTTTTACTTTCAGGTAACTGGTCAATATTGTTGTCTACAATACAGACAGCACTACTGAGTCAACTCTACTTTTAAATTAGATTGAGAACAGTTTCCTGGAGCCAAATATTTTTTTTTTATAAATAATGAACATACCAGGTTTAAAAGTCAAAATATATACTACAGTATGTGCTCTTCCCAGTGGTCTAATATACTGTACAGTACCTGTAGAGGAAGGAGCTGTGGAAGAGTTCAATCTTTCATAAACTACAGTAAAACAAAACTGATATACAAATAATTCATACAAGTCTATTTATTTACAGTACCGTACTGCATTTTGTTACCAACATACTTTTTTTGTAGTGATCTTATTGCACACCAGAGAACTCTTTCTCCACCTCCTCCAGCATTGCAATATGGATGAAAGAATGCTACATGAAGATAACCTGGTTCACCTCTTCGCAATGTATACACACACTGTGAAATGAAACAAAAGAAGTTGTTAGGGCAACACCTGCAATAAACAATGGTTATCAAAATGATTGAATTCTGCACCAGTTAGCCAGAAGATCCACCTGCACCCATTATTACCACTCAAAGACATTTGAACAATATGCATTAAATAAGTGTAAAGCAAGGATTCCATTCACACGTTAGCGTTGCCACCAAAAATAGATCACATTGAAATGTACACGGTTGTTTCCGTTAGCACGGTTGCGTTTGCATTATGTGTCTGCAGTACATGCCAATCGCTCCCTGTAGCGATTGAAAATGCAAATGCACTGCAATACGCGTGAATGGAATCCTAGCCTTAGAATTCATAAAAATTGATATATGTTGTGGTAAAGAAGATTTACTGAAAAGTTTGTGCACTGTATATTGTCTCAAGAATTAATTGGGTATACTGATTACCGGGTATGCAAACAACTCTCACTACAGGCATTTATATGCATCAAGAAAGTTCTGGGTTAGCATGTGCAATTTAAAGTTTTATCCTACGTATTTCAAAATATGAAAAATCATTTATATTTCTTAAGGAACCTTCAATATTTCACTAAACAATCATAATACAGTATATGAAGACAATCTTATGCATACAATTCAAGAACTTTTCCCTTTTATTTTTTTAGTCATGCATCATACATTGCACTTTGTTGTCATAAAGTAGTTGGTGTGTCTCTCTTCCTCTTGGGAGAACTAGAGCCAAGAGTATTTAGTGGTAGCTTACAAAGTGAAGACAAAAATATTGTGAATTGGACATAAAATAATAAATAGTGGTAAATACAGGGTAGCCACAACACCAGCAGCAGGACCTTGCTTTCCTCACTGTATCTTGGGTTCAATACCTGTGTGATCCTACCAACATCACAGATTTTCTTCAGGTTCTGTAATGTAATCCAGTATCCTCCTGTACTAACACTGGACAATGAAGGTCATAAAAAAGAACAGACTGACTTCTTGAATGATCTAGCAAGTGTGACAAGTGGTAGAAATAATAAATTAAAAAATAAAATATCTAAGTGTCAACTGAGGTGCAATACCAATGACGTACCTGACAACATTGTGTTACAGTTGTAAGTTGTCACTTGAAAACACTGTACCCTGAAAAGTTATTAAATTTGGAGAGCTATATAAAAACAAGTACTCCTGTACCAAGGTAGGTAGATACCAGGTAGCCTCACTCCCATAGGATCTACGCTAATGAAAATAAAAATGAAATTTTTATTTACGTAATTTTGAAGGCTTATGATGGTATTAAAAGTTGTACAATAAATGTATGGAATGGAGATTTTTTGTTTTATTTTAATTGGAACCACTGATTAAATATATAAAATAAATATAAATATCTTACTTGCGACGCTTGCGACCGCTGGATTCGATCCAACGTCGCTGATTGGCTAACGATGACATCACTTATTAAGCTCCACCCACTTAGTTACATCAAACAGTAGCAGATAATAATACCACAATATTACAAACGCATGAAGTGGCAAAAGGGGCGTGGCTTAGTGATCTCGAGAGTAGAGTTGCCAATTAGTGAATTCCTAGGGGCCTGCGTGAGGTTACCTGGTATCTACCTACCTTGCCCTTTACAGTGTTGGTAATCTGTATACTGTACATTATGTATATGGGTTGACAAAACTCTTTTCAGCTTTGAGATCAAATGTTTGCCAAAACTGTAGTGTAGGTGTAAGTGCTTCAGTTCAGCCCAAACAGACAAACTGCCACTGAACTTTCTGATTTTTTTTTTATTATTTTATGACTATTATTTTGTTTAATGGGGTGAATATTGTTTGAATGTTGTGGCCAAATGGAAAGCTACAAAGTAGTCGAACATGACATTAATTGTGATGTTTGCCAGAAAATACTTTTTCTATAACAGTGATGTTAATTGGTAGTCGCCGGTCGATGGAATGCCAGATAAGGGAGAGTCAACCTGAAGCACAGTTAATGTAGCTAGGAGTAGTCCACATTTGATTACAAATAAAATATCTTAATTCATCAGTTTTATGCCCTATTGAGAATCTTTGCATCAAGGAAATGATCTGTTTATTGATACAATACTTAATAAAAATTTTAGAAAATATCTCGAGACAATCAGTTCAAAAAACTACATACTGTGCATACCCATTCTTGTACACTTACTCGTCTTATATCCACACACTTCCTGTAATAAAGTATTTATAATTTTACAGAATGCATTCATTAAACTTACAAACTTGAGAAGAAACCAGCATATGCAAGCAAGTCCTGCCAAAAGGACCAGAAGCTGCAGTAGAATCATGATGCCTAAAGACCAAACCCGTATTGATAATGACAGCATCTCCGATGTCAAATTGAACAACTCCATCAGAGAGTCTATTAAATTGGTAGTAGTGCCATTCATCTCTGCTATTACTGAAAAAAACCCAGGCATTATTTTCATATAATAAATGAATGAGTCTTATTTTATTATTAATATAAAAGACTAAGTCTTTGTTATAACATAGCAAATAAGGAGCACGACCAAGGCAACAGAGCTAATCTGAAGAAAACTCATTTCCTGAGACAATTAACACAGAAATAAATATTAGAAGCTATAATTTCCACCAAACAGATTACGCTTCATTTGACAGTGATGTAATCCAAGTTTGCAATAATGACCCTCTTACTCCTAATACCAAATTCACAAGGAAAAACTTATCTACCTACCTCCTAGTTTAGAAATAAGCTTAAGACTGTACACTTCTTGGGTTGGGCACAGCTACATATATGGTATTGTTTATGGAGAGAAAGGATGATATACAGTATAGTAATACCAAAACCTCTCTTACGGTACATTAGTTTGTAAATGGTGAGACAGACAACCTACAGCTATTATGTAAGATAGCTGGAGTGACAATGAGCTCCTGGTTCTTAGCAATCAGCAGGTAATGGTTATCCCACACCCCTGGGAGGATGAAAATCATTCACAGGGTTGTTCCACCATCTGCAAGCATACCTGATAGTGTGCTTATCTACTGTTGAATCCTCAGAGGCTGGTGTACAAAAAGGGATCCCACCCAATCCTTCATTCCTGGTCAGGAATTAAACCCATGTACAATCACTTGTGAAGCCAAAATTTCCGGAGGAGTATATACAGAAAATAATTAATTTCTTTACATACAAAGTACGTAGAGATATCATTTTAGTGTCCTCTGATCAGTTTTCCACTGTGTTTTACCCCAAAATTTCCCTCATCCTTCATGCCCTACCTACTGCAGGTGATTTATGATTCTAGATCGAGAAAAAAAAATATTTACCTTTAGTGGAGTCTGCATTTACGCGGTCAATTGAGCCCGTGGAGGCCCGCATAAAACGAGAAACGCGTAAATGAAATAACAGAACATATGGGATTAATTGAAATAGAGACGGGGCCGACCCCCAAACTCCACTTTTTGCGACACAATACATACGTTGTAGTAAAATATTATCTTAATTTTATGATGGTATGCACACACACATAATATAGAAGAGAAATATCAATAAGAGAATAATATACTGTACCAGGTAAAAGAAAAATCAAGGTTTAACACTTACGTTAGGTTAGGTTAGAAAAAATCAAGGTTTAACATTTACGTAAGGTTAGGTTAGAAAAAATCAAGGTTTAACATTTACGTTAGGTTAGGTTAGAAAAAATCAAGGTTTAACATTTACGTTAGGTTCGGTTTAACACTTACGTTAGTAGAAGAGATGGGTCGGCATACGTTGATGGGGGCTGGTTCCGAGGCAGAGGGCAGATTACTGGCCCTCAGGTGAATCACCATCACTATCCACCACAGTTGTCAGGGCCTCCCTGACAAATCCCTCAAAGTAAACATCACTGTCTCTATCAATGGCTTGGGCTGGCTGTGGTGGGTTGCGGGCGAAGAAGGCCGTGATGTTACGCTGACAGCTAGTGTTGATGTGTTCGTGATACATATGGATGTACGGCTCCATAGTCTGCAATAGCTGGTTATTGAAGACTTCATAGCGGTGATCATCAGGATCGTTGAAAAGGACGAGCTTGAGTTTCTCTGCAAACTCGATGGTATCCTTTACATTACCATGTGTTGACTTCTGTTGTTCTTGGGGTGCCGCACCACCCGCATCTTCACTGACGTCATTATAATGAGACAAAATCACATATGAAGAGGTAAGCTAGGAGTTTATAGTAGTAGAGTATTATAGTGAGAGGAAATGGTAGTGTGCCTCGAGGGTGTGATGTCAACACTGTATATTAACACAGGCACAGTACAAGTGTAGTATATAAAACACCAATGCGTGTTACAGCTTTATTATACTAGTTCAATAGGGGGAATTAATGGGGGGGTTCGTACACAGTTTATTAGACTATGGTATTCTCGTATAACCTAACCTCACAATTAGAATGGGCACTTCACTAAGTCGATCGTTGGGGAGGTTCGGGATCACCGCACTTCTACCGTCTACACAGCCAGCACTTACTGTTACACGTTGAGTTGACAGCACTCTGTCGAAGGACCCAGTGGCGGACTCCTCTTGAGCAGGACTGGGGACGTTGTTGCTGGCCCTTCTTGGTTACAAGACACTCTCTCGTGAGGGAGGGCTACGACGTCCTATATATTGGGAGACGAGCCGTCAGGTTGAGCTGATTGGGGGGGGGCGGCGAAGGGTCTCCTTCCATTTGACCCCGCTAATGTAAGGTCAGGTCTGGACTTTTTCGCAGCTGTAAGTTGTTGTATATTTTGGAGAAATCTTCAGATGACTGGGTTCTTGTTAACATCGTTGGTGTGGCCGTGTGACATGAGAGAGGCCCTGGTTGATTTGTGGCCCCTTGACTTGGGCTGCGAGGGGTCCCTGTACATTTGACCTGGCTAATGTGAGGTCAGGTCTGGACCTTGTCTGAGATGTACTGTAGGTTATTGTGTAAATAATGGAAGGGTCGGCAGGTGGCTCCTTCTGACTGTGTGTCTCTTACATATTTGTTGGGGCCGTGTGGCATGGAAGGGATGCTGGTTGATTTGTGGCTCCTTGAGTGGCTGCGAGGGGTACCTTTACATTTGACCCCCCTAATATCGGGTCAGGTCTGGACTGTTTCTGAGATGTAAGCTGTGGTCTGACAACCCATCACTACATCATCGTCTTCCAACATCTCGTCGCAGTCACCTCAGGATCCCTGATCACCTCCATAATGTCTTCGTTGGTGGTCTCGGAAAAGCCTGCAGCTGTAACACTCTGTGCAGCTTCTCTTGCAAGGTCCACTGCCACTGCAACAGACTGAACCTCACCAGTCACAGGTTGACTCTGCCTCCCACCTGGGATACCTTGCAACACATGCTGCCAAGCGTGACGAATCGTTGCCACAGACAGCTGCCCCCATGCCTCCACCAAGAAATCTACAGCTTTCGTGACGTTGAATTTCTTCCAAAACTGTTTGACGCTAACTTCTTACTCCGCCAACTCTTCTTCCTCGTCGCTCTCGCTATCGGTGTCACCCAGGTTACACAACTCATCCTTGGTGTTGGTACAGTCGTTCAGGAGCTTAAATTTCTTTGCAGAGAATGCAGCCTTAACGTTGCATATCAACTCCTGGTCCATGGGCTGGATTAACGACGTAGTGTTGGGAGGAAGGAAGACCACTTTTACGTTTGGGTGACGATCCAACAGTAGGGGCGAGTGTCCTGGTGCGTTATCAAGGAGCAACAAAATGTTGAATGGAACATTCTGTTGCTCGCAGAATATCTTGACGTCGGGAACGAAACAGTCGTCAAACCAGGAGAGGGACAGAGCAGTGAACATCCACGCCTTACGCGCGGTTAGCCAGTGGACATTTAGCTTGGTCATGTCCATGTTCTTGTAAGCGTGCGGCTTACGGGCTGTGTGGATCACCGATAACTTGAGTTTACAGGTACCGGAGGCATTGGTGGTAAACAGGATGGTGATGCGCTTCTTCTGCAACTTTTGGCCCCGACACTTGCTGGCAGACTTGACAACGAAGGTCTTGGAAGGTAGCCTTTTCCAAAACAGACCGGATTCATCCATGTTGAACACCTGGTCGTCGGTGTACTGTCCTTCCTCCATAACTTCTCGTAAGAATGGAGGAAAATCACTAGCCGCAACATGGTCAGCACTCGCTCCTTCACCACCAATGTTAATGTTGGTGATCTTGTTCCTCTTCTTAAACCCTTGCAGCCACCCAGAGGAAGCATTGAAGGGTTTGGGCTCTGCAATTCCCACCTTATGTGCCACTGCTACGTACAGTTCACGTGCGTACTCTTGAACCGACCGCGTGTCCACCGCCGTGTTCCGTCTTGCCTGACGAATCAAGTAGCTCACCAGCAAATTCTCTTTCTTGAGCAGCACCTTGTTCTGGCAGTACTTCACCATTGAAGCACCTGCAGACTTTGTGATGCTCATGTGTTCTTTTATCTTGGCGGCATCCTTCTTGATCGTCCGGATCATAGATTCGTTCACGCCATGCTGGCGCGCCAAATCAACTTGCCTCGTTCCTTTTTCTAATTCTTGTACGATCTTGTACTTATGTTTGTAACTTAGGGCATGTCGTATCTTCTTTGGCTTGGAGCGGCTGGGTCCAGGTAATGCAAGGTTTTTCTATGGGGGTGGGGGTCCAGCAGATGCCATTCTTACGAGATTAGTGGGAACAATACAGCACAGTATACGCGGGGTGACTGGGAACAGGGCGACTGACGGGGGTAGCGGCTTCTTCTCTGTGGTGGCAGGGCACGTCATATTACATTGAACCAATCACAGCTAGCGGGGGAGGGAGGTAAGGATGCGTGGCCCAATCACAGTCCGATACGTCATATAACGTCACCGATAACGCAACAGCGACATACTGCGCAACCTTACTCGCACCGCTTGTGGTCAGGCATGGGTCGCTTGAATACAAAATGGCGCGGCGCGTCTGGACCCTCCAGCGACTCTCCGCGTAAATGACCTAATTTACCGCGTAATTAAAGCATTTAAATTCTGGCAAGGCACCGCGTAAATGACCAAACGCATTAACCAAAACCGCATAAATCGACTCCTGTAATTAAAATAAATAGTTGTTGACTCTTTTAAAATAATTATTATAATAAGAACATCTGTGTAAAAATAGACAAATTGAACAACTCCTTCAGGTGTTACCCATCTCCCTAATTACAGTACAATATTACCAAATTTAATTATGAATCGATTTTCTTCTATGAGTATGTATTTTTCTTGTGCAAATGAGAGATGTACATCCTTCACCCTAACAAGCATATAAATCACCTGTAGTAGGCAGGGGCATGAAGAGATTAGAATGAAATTAATAGAGGGGTAAAACACAGTGAAAAGCAGTCATATGACACGAGGCAAATGTCTCTCTGAGCTTTGTATGTGAAGAAATGAAATAAATACTTTAGCAATACTCCTCTATGAAAAAATCTGCAGTCAGCACGGTAACATAATCTGCTCAGTTTGATTACAATCAAACTGTTCAGTCTTGAACATATTCTCACACCCACAAAAAATGTAAAATTACATGACACTTCAGCAAGTTGTTTTCATTGGTACGGATAATAAAATAAGTACTTTCTGTTAGAAATATGGCGGGGGTTACGTGTTAAGTTTATTTGGTTGGTTGGGTCAGGCTCCTATTAGGTTCTAGTATTTTTTTTTTTTTTTTATGGGGAATAGCCTACCAGGGCACAGGTCATCAACCCACAACATGGGCTGGGGGGGGGATGGGGAAATAAGAGTAAAAATAAATTAAAAATAGAAGATAAAAAACTATACTAACCTCCACCTAATCTAACCTAACCAGGGGAGCACAGTCATTCGATGTTCTGGGTGTGCACTGTCATGGATGAACATACATACATAATAAAATGTTAAATATTTCGCTTATACAATACATAATTTGTGCCAGAAGTGCCATTGAATAAAAGTGTCTTAGAGTTGTTAAAATTACTGATTGCAATTATAAAATTCACGACATTCGCTTAGTGACAACATGTGAAATACTGTAATACCAATTAGTTTACTAGTGACTGAATTCAGTACAGTATTTTAGGATCTTTTCTGGTAAATTTTGACAGATATACAGTAGATCTACATTTGGTATAGGTGTAATGGAAGTCCTCATCAGTCCAGCATGTATGACCATGACAGGTGTTGTCTGAGCTCTTCTGATATACTACTACCACACTAAGACAGTATTAATGTGGTGTCCCTGATTTAGGACAAGAATGATTCAAATAATAAATGTTTTACAATAACACTGTACAGTAACATAACCCTTTTTGTATTGACCTCAGAGCTGTCTAGTGTGAGCTATTATATGACCAACTATTACTCCATAAATAATGATTCACACTATGATAAATACAGTTGTCTTTATAATTACACTTCCGATGCCAGTAAATTATAATACAAGATTACCTTAATAAATCACCACAGGAATGTTGTGACACGACACACTGCTCACCCTCTGCCAGTGTTGCCAGGGCAGGTATTACATGTTTGCCACATCTTGATTCCCGACCTATAAAACAGCCCCAAAACAGCAATATTTATCAATAATCTTACTTGCCAACAGTATCTAGTGGCCTCTAAAATAAATAACAAGACAATCAGTGATGAAAGGGATAAAATAAAATAAAGAACATTATACTAAATTAAAATGATTGCTATATCTTACACCAATATTAAAAAATAAAAACGTCCTCCCATTTAAGGTTTCATTTTCTTTTATTAAAACAAAGAAAACGGATGTAAATAAAGAGTTTCATGAATGTTTAAATGCCGGACTTAAATAACTTTGAATGAGATTAAAGGTGTTACCGTAGTATTAAAAAGACCATCAGGGTATCACTTTAATTAAATGGCAAACAACAATAATAATAATAATAATAATAATAATAATAATAATAATAATAATAATAATAATAATAATAATAATAATAATGATAATAATAATAATAATAATAATAATAATAATAATAATAATAATAATAATAATAATAATAATAATAATAATAATAATAATAATAATAATAATAATGATAATAATAATAATAATAATAATAATAATAATGATAATAATAATAATAATAATATAATAATAATAATAATAATAATAATAATAATAATAATAATAATAATAATAATAATAATAATAATAATAATAATAATAATAATAATAATAATAATAATAATAATAATAATAATAATAATAATAATAATAATAATAATAATAATAATAATAATAATAATAATAATAATAATGATAATAATAATAATATAAGTTGAGTGCGCGGGAAACGTTATAGAAGAAAAGTGTCTTGGATTGTCTAAAGTACTAAATTATTGATTGCAAAGATAAAATTTGCCAGATTCGTTTGATAATAATAATAATATTATTATTAGTAGTAGTAGTACCCTGTATTAGTATTAACTATGTATAAAATAATTATGTAGTTAATTCAGAACAGTAGTTATATTGTAGTGGACAGTCCACTACAATATTAAAGAAATTAACCAGCTATAGAAATTTCAATAACAAAAAGTTGTAGCGTACTATATGTGGCCAGTTGTCAATTCTTTTTAGTTGTCTATTGTCTCTTTGTATGGGCACACAAACGTACGTACAGTATATGTAGATACCTCACACTCAGGAATGAGGTAGAATAGAAACTCACAATACGTTTTCTGTATATATATTGTTGTACAGTGTAGTGCTAAGGAGTTACTAGGTGAGGAGTAGCCTTGCTCAGAGGTCCTGTAGGGCAAGGAGCTTTCTGAGGGAGCTGGGTGGTGAGGTGCTGGAGAGAGATCTTGCTGGTCCAGTAGTCAGAGTAGAATCGTCTCCCTGGCCAGCCACGGCCGTATTTATACAATTTACTTTTATTTACTTTTATCCTCTTCGCCACTGATCAGCTTGTTAGCCGCTTGGGCGATCGGTCACGTCTCTTTTCCTTTATATTCTTCACCAAAAGGTCGGCTCGCTAGCCGCCCGGGCGATCGGTCACGTCTCTGTCACGCACTGTTGGCAAGTACTGGGCATGCACCGGCTCCTGAATGTACCTGAACCTGCTCCAGTGTTGGTCAAGTCTTCTCTTGAAAGAGCTCACACTCGGTGCCGTCACAACACTCTCTGGTAGATTGTTCCAAGAGTTTACAACCCTCACCCCGAAAAAGTTTGCCCTCACGGTTTTCCGGACTTGCGGCTTCTTCAATCTTGAGCTGTGACCCCTTGTGGGGCGAGCGTCCGCCAGCTCAAAGTAAGGACACTCAACTGAGTAGTGCCCCCTGAGATGCTTATAAACCTCAACTAGGTCCCCCCTTGCCCGTCTGTAGTATAAGCTAGGCAAGTTCAGGCGCTCCAATCTCTCAGGGTAGCTGAGATGCCGAAGTGCAGGCACCAGTTTGGTGGCCCTCCTTTGAACATTTTCAACCAACTGACAGTCCCTAGCATATCTCGGGGACCAGATGGGGTGACAGTACATCAGGATTTGGGGTGCGCGTAGCGTGAGAGGCAATCACATAGGAGGAGGCCAGGCACATCCGACACTCAGATCCTAGCTTTGCTGCGTGTGCGTCCGCACTGGAGAGTAGGTCTACCCCAAGGTAGGTAGATACCTATCTTGGGTCTACCATAGGGTTGCCATATCTGAACATTCAAAAAAGAGGACGCTACCGAAGACATCCCCCCACCCCGGGCACACACAGGCTAATATACAACATACATGGTATAGAAATCTTTAAAAAAAATTACCTTTGTTTAAGGCTGAACATCTTCATTCCCTTAGCTGCTGTCTTAAGAACATAAGAACATAAGAATGGAGGAAACTGCAGCGGGCCTATTGGCCCATACTGGGCAGTCCCGTTTACACCCAACCCCTATTGCTCATATAAGCATCCAACCTATGTTTGAAGCTATTCAGCGTATTCGAGTTAATGATGATATTTGGTAACTTGTTCCATTCATCCACAACTCTGTTTCCAAACCAGTGTTTACCTATTTCACGCCTAAATCTAAATTTGTCTAATTTAAAACCATTGTTACGAGTTCGCTCCTGGTTGGATAGTTTGAGTACCTTTGTAATGTCCCCTTTGTTTAGCCCTGACTTCCACTTATACACCTCTATCAGGTCGCCCCTCGCTCTATGTCTCTCGAGGGAGTGCAAATTAAGATGCTTTAACCTGTCTCTATACTCAAGGTTCCTAATGCCCGGGATTAGTCTTGTCATTCTCCTCTGAATTCTTTCCAATGATTCTATATCCATTCTGTAATACGGTGACCAGAACTGAACTGCGTAATCCAGGTGTGGTCTCACAAGAGCAAGATACAGCTTTAGGATGACCTCGCTAGTCTTGTAACTAACACTCCTTTGTATGAACCCAAGTACTTTATTAGCCTTGTTACGAGCAAAAACACATTGTTTACTTGGCTTAAGGTTCCTACTTATCATTACTCCTAAATCTCTCTCGCAGTCGGATTTCTCTATGGCATCATTGTTCATCTGGTATCTGGTTTCCCTGTTTACATCTCCTATACTGAGTACTTTACATTTGTCCACGTTGAATTTCATCTGCCATTTTTCAGACCATTCGAAAAATTTGTTTAGATCTTCCTGTAGTTTTGCTGAGTCCTCGTGTGTGTGACTTGGTGTGCCCATGCATACTTTTCTGTAGATCGGATCTTTTTCAGTATTGGCTGATTGCTCTTTAGAAAGGTATAGTAGAAATCACTGCAAGATGTTTCTCGGAAGTTGTACTGTACAGTCAGAATGCCTTTCATTGTTTAACACTCAATTTGTTCCTTTCCTTTGTCCATTGGCTTTGCATCAGTGAAAAAACTTTCTACATTTGCATTGCGAGATGATATAGCAAAGAAGAATTGTGCAATTCTTAGCAATTCTGAGTGACATTCAATGTTTGATTTTTCAAAGTATCTGGTCCACTTTTTGTGCTGGCAGATTACTAAATTCTTCATCACTTGTAATTTTCCACAAACTGCTTCAGGTTACTAACTTGGTCAAAACACTTCATCAACTTCTACCCCCTTATCAATCAAATATTTGACAGCTAAGTTGACAACACCGTACAGGCGTACAAGTGACTTGTCAGCTGGCGAAAACTGAACGAGATCTCTACGGTTCCCACCTTCCCTCTCTCTCTCTCTCTCTCTCCCGTCATTACAGTTTCATGTTTTTTTTTTCCCGTGGAGAAAATGATGGAAGCTGAAATTCCGGACTTTTGAAGAATTTAAAAAATTCCTTCCGGATGAAGATTTCGAGACCTAAATGGAGGACATGTCCGGGAAAATACGGACGTATGGCAACCCTAGTCTACCAGCATCACTGGCTGTACGCTGATTGGCTGGTAGGCGCGCGGGAGCTCAGTCGTCACTTGTAGGGGATGCGTTAGATTATTAACAAATATAACGATAAGAATAAATGGATTTCAGGATTATTGGGAACCCTAGTAGGTAATTATATAGGACTAACCAATGAGCGAAATTGATAAAAAAAACAACGAAAACACCGGATTTTCACTGTTATATTATAGTGGACACTTGTAATTTGTGGAAATATGTTAAAAATTTTATATTTTAAAAATAAACGTTACTTAACATTTGTGGGTATGAAAAACAGATTTAACCAACCTAACCAAACAAATCTACCTAACCTTACCTAACTTCCTTACCGGAGCTCCGCCCCCTGGAACCCCCAGTATATTAAACAGAAAGAACTTACTATGATATGGTGAAATTTGAGACATTTTCTGGACGTGAGCCCGGGCGGCAGAGTGAGTTACTGTGTTGGCGAGTTCCACAATAAATGATTATCATATCAGAACTCACTGATGAAAATAATGTAAGAAAATAAATAAACAGTCTATGTAAACGAAAAATGTGGTGATCTTTAAACAATTGAAGGGACTTGTCATCTTTATCCGTAAATTCACAAATTACGTCCATGTAAGATCTGTCACAACATGCTGAGAAACAAACTGCCCCGGGTGCGGGAAAAGCCCCTGAGCATAGCACGGCCTCATTACCACCCGCAAGATAAACTATTGCGCGCCTAATTATCTATGAAACGAACAATTTCCACATTATATGATTAATTATCGTATCATAACTCAGTGATGAAAATATTGAAAGAAAATAAACAGTAATAAAAATAACTCACTCATGGGTTAGTCCCATATATTAACCCCCCCTAGTATATTTTTGTTAGGTTAGATTAGGATAGGTTAGGTTTAGTTAGATTAGGATATGTTAGGTTAGATTAGGTTGGTTAACGTTAGGTTAGGATAAATTATGTTTGGTCACGATAAATTAAGTTAGATTTGGTTATGTTAAGTTAGGTTAGATTAGATTTGGTTATGTTAAGTTAGGTTAGGTTAGATTAGATTAGGATAAGTTATAATTTGGTTAGGTTGTGTTAGGTTCCACTCATGTTTCACTAGTGATGTGTTTCTATTCCATTACATCCATTTTTAGCTAAACAACAAACATGATTTATGTATATTCAGTGACTAAATTATAGTTGTAAGATAACAGTACTAAACAGAGGTAGAGATGTTAGCAAATTTGTAATGACTAATTTTACTCGCATACTTGGGCATCCGCAGGGGAGTGTAAATGGCAGCTAAAACACACAGTCTATCATGCCTTACATGATATTGTGTGATAACACCAGATTATTCAATAAAAACAATTTATATATAATGAGTAGGTTCTTGACAAACAACTTTAGATATCTTTGAATAATTTCTCAAAGCAACACATACTTTTTTTTGCTGTAAAAGATAATTATTTGCCTACTTAAGGGAATGCACTCCCTTCGGTTCTTCAGTAAGAGTGATGGTGGTAGCTACAGGTTTACATCACTTAATATGAATGAAAATATCGCATACAGTTAACCAATGTGCTTTACTGTACATACAGTATATACATATTGTACATAGTGATACTGTATAAAGAACATCACAGTATTTACAAGTTGGTACAGTAACAGAGTTGGCAGTGACACCATTTTTTCACGTCTTATTCTGTGCTCGTTAGTTTATTGATGACCAACGTTTTTAAAATATAAAGTGCAGCACAGTTTCAAAACTACACAACTACCAATGTATCCTACTGGAAACTTAAGACTGTAAGTTTTAAGATAAGGTCCCTACAGTGGAAAAAGTTTGAAGATCAGACAACATTATTGTTGGAATAATAATTTAATATTTAACAAGTGAAATTGTCATGTAGGTATTCTGTAGAAATTAATCAGGTACAGTATACAGATCAGCACGAATATAGGTCCTTTGTTTATACTTTGAAATATCCAGTGGCAGATCTAGATGTGTACAAAAGAGGGGTGCGGCCTAAAGAAAATTCAAATGATTGCAGGAGATCCAGCACCACCCAAGTGGAAACGTTATCAAGATTCAACAGCCAAAATACAAACCATCGTACAAGACTTTGAGAAACACTATGTGTTGGAATTTTTGAGGGGAATACTCATTATAATTTTAGTATGATATATGTCAGTGAATTTTTAAATATTGATTGTGACCGATCCATAAAACAAAATTCAGTGTTTTACTAATTTGAGTTCTCTTGCAGTTTTGTAGTGTTAAATAATTACTACCCCTGTATTATGCATAATAAATAAAACAAGAAAATGAAACATTAATTCTTAGTGTTATTTTCTCCTCTCTAATCAGTCAGTTCCGTGTTCTATGCCCGTGATTGATAAACTAAATTTTTCCCTATGAAAAACAGTTGACTGGGGGGCAGTTTTCCTAGAACCCACAAAACTTCCTCAGATGATCACTGCTTACCCTACAGCTAATTTCCACTAAAGATGGCTGCCATTTAAGGGTGAAAAATAAAAACAAATTTCAAAATTGAAACAATATATTTTAAATGTTGTGTCATGCATTTATAAAACAGGGAATGAACATAAATACTATCAATCTAAATTAAGTTAAATACTGTAAATGGTACACAAAGAAACTAAAATTGTTACCCTATACCATTTAAAATTAAATGAAACTAAAATATTTATATGCACACAGCACTATGATTAATTTTAGGAACATAATACAGTATAACCATATTTTGCAGCATATAAGACACACTTTTTTGTCTGAAAAATGGCAAAAAAAAACATCAGGCTGCATCCTATATGTGAAGCTGAGGTCTCCTGTAGGCTAACGAATCCCCCAATTGCTGTCTCCAGTAGGTTAAATTGTACTAAAAAACATTATTTTTAATTAACTAAAAAAATATTGTAAATATAAAATCTTGATTTATAACCCGAGTTGATTAACGTCCATGCGGCAGACACCCAACTCTTCAAGAGGTAGCAAAGCAGGAATCATTTCTGGACTCTTACAATGCCATACCTACAACATGTATTTTTAAATCTACAAATACCTGATACAAATGAAGATTTACATGTAACTTTCAATTCACATTTGCATCTGTTAACATAGATGGCACCATTGAAGCCAGGTTAGACTCGTCACTATAAGGCTACTGGTGTTATTTGTTGTTTTTCATCATGTATTTTCGGGTAGATATACGTAACTTGGGGGTGCATCTTACATGGCCGTGAGTCTTATATGCTGTAGAGTATGGTACTTAATTATCAAATGTGACAAGTCATAAAACAATTCAATTTAATACATTACCACATTTCAAATACGGTATACTGTACAGTATTGTGATTGACCATACAATGTGATATAACTGCTGTGAGAGTTGATACACAATTATTATTAATTCTTGGAGATATGGTCCCTGTTTCACATTAATCTTTTTATTCATAAAAGCATATAGGAATACATTAGGTACTGTAATCTGGTAGTAAAGGAAACACGACTTGAGTTTCCTTCACTACAACCTACCATCTGTCCACTATGAACAATATTCTTAGGAACACATAAAATATCCTCCCTGTTTCCATAATCCTAATGGTAGTGATATGGATGTTGTCAGAGAACATTCCAATGACTAGAGTAGCTCATGTCAGTAACTTGTGGAGAATAAAAACCATGGAAAATGAATACCTCATCCAATGATAAGGTCAAGTTATGCAACATACTTGAGCCCAAGTGAAACCACACACTAACTACAGCTCATTCACAAAGGAGGTATGCAGGTAATTTAAAGTGAAATTTATTAAGTGTATATATATATATATATATATATATATATATATATATATATATATATATATATATATATATATATATATATATATATATATATATATATATATATATATATATATATATATATATACTGTATGTACTTGTTTACTGTAATAATCAGGACCACTGAGACTACCAACAAGAAATTCACAGTAAAATAAAATAATTATTTGGAATTCAAATATAATAACAATAAGATAGGCAAGAATTGTTATCTTGATTGTAACTTTGTACTTTATGACAAGAAGTGGATGACATCACCTCTCCTTAATTACTAATGAGAGAGAGAGAGTTAAAAAAAAAAGCTTCCAATCACATAACACTACTGTACTGTACAATCTTTAACTTTTCCCTCCCACATTCACCTGCCAGTAATGCAAACTTTTCTTTAATTTTCTCCCTCACATTCACATACAATACAGTATATTGTACTGTAAGTAGCATGTCAAACTACCAGGTATAGTTCAGCACAATAATCTTAACACACTCTCTTGTGTGCAGATAGCAACACCTGGCTTTTTTTCTTCTCAAACACAGTGCTTTAGGGAACCCATTCATCATCATCATCACTCTCATTACTGGACTCATCACTCCCAGCTGTTCTTGCACGTCTCCTTTTATTTTGTCTTCTGTGTGTGGGCCTTTCTACGGCTGTGTTTCCTGACCTTCGAAATGCTCTCCTCCTTAAATGAAACCTTTCCATGTTACTGTCACTACTAATACTGTTACACAATCTTGTTAACATTTTCCTTTTCATCTCATTTTCCTCCTCTTCTATGACTTCTTTCAGTCGGTACACTAAAACAGTGTGCTGACTTCCTTTGTTTGAAACTATGTTAAGAATATCTCTATCCAAATGGATACTCAGTCTGTTTGTTTCAATATCTCCATCAACTTTTACACAAATATCCATTTCATGGAGAAGGTCATAGGAAAGGCTGTCATAAAATACAACCTTCAGTAATTTTGTACAGTTATGTTCCTGCAAAAAAATAACTTTATATTTACATCATTGCATCACCAAACTTAATTATATATTATGAAGACAAATTACAGTGTCCTAAATGTAAGCATTCGGCCTTATTTAATTTGTCTTTAACCCCAATTAAATGTAAATTCTGGTGATAATTTTTTGAAAAATATGTCCAGACTGAGGCTGTTTTCTTGCGTTACAGTAAATACAAAAAATATGTAACTTGACTGCTGCCAAGAGGTGTTTTTCACTCATTTGCATGAATTGTGGTAATTGTAAATACTGTAGTGTAAGTTAGAAAAGAACATAATGAATGCAAGCTTAATTTAATTCTCCTTTGGACAGTATAAACAAATGAAAAGTGCAGAAATTATGAGAGATCAGCACAGAATAGTTATCATCCCTTAAAATATCAGAATATAAATATGATAGATTATATACTAAAGAACTGTAGTGACTTTTCCCATGTCCACCTGTCAGCCAATCAACTGCTTTGTTACAAATTGACCCTAGGCCTCAGTTGCAACGTTTGAGTCTGTTGACTCAAACGTTGCAACCGAGGCCTGTCATAAGCAAGATCATCAGCCAAGATAACACTAGTCCCTGGTGTAATGTAACAAAAGTGACCAATTCTTTAATATGATTCTGAATCAGTCTGGCCTTGTTTATGGGTTTTATCAGAGAACAAATAAGTCAGTCAGGATAAGTATTCATTGAGTTGTTTACTGAAGCACCGTAGCTAATAAAATCTATTCATCAGCCTTGGATCACCATGATCATTTCGTCTACGGCCAAAATTACAGATGAAGCTAAGATCGCCATTAGGGCCAACATGTTCAGTACATATTTAACCTATTTTTAGTTTCCTCTTATCAATAACTATGTTCAGCCTAAGCCTGGTGCAACTGTAATATTTAAACCATCTATTATGGAGAAAATAAAATATGCAACAGTAAATTAAAATAGATAACATACAGTACTCCTAAGTAAGATCTATCCAAACTTTAAAAAAAAAAAATTCTTAGGTAAATTTTGATGTTGATGAGTGTGATAATTAAACTAAAGTACTGTACTCATAACTCACAATGTCTCTCCAAGCTTCCAAGATAACAAGAACCCTTAGGTCAGCATCTATGTTGAAGGAAATTGCTCGGTTTAAGGAATTATCCAACTCAAACTTTGTTTTTAATAACCGTCCAGATCGGGAATATTTGGCAGGCTCCTCATTCTGAAATATGAAGAGTAAAATATGTAAGAAGAATAAAAATTCCTGCCATGAAAATACTAAAGTCTGAAATTGTCAGTACAACAGCAAGTTATCCCCCCCAAAAGTACTGTACACCCACTTTCTCAAACTTAATAATGTATAACGTTGGAGAGCTGTGTTTCATCAGCTCTAAATATGAAGAACCAACCGCATACATCCTAATGAACATCCTCAACCAACTAGTTTACTTGTCATTTAACTTCCAACTGGGTCATTAAGTAATTAGACACACTGCTGCAACTTGAAAAATATATACCCAGAGTACAGTACAGTATATAATAATGAATGGCAACCAGTCCATTCTTCAAATAACTGCTCTATTTAAACTACTCAAAGAAATACTCCAAAAAAGAAACACAGCACTTAACTGCCAAAACACTTTGCCATGTGACAAAGTTTGATCAGCTGAGGGGTAACTGAAGAACTGAAAGTCAAGTGAGCCAAAGGCTTGTTTTATAGTCTGCTTGGGTTGTGGACTGTATGCATAATGTTGTGGTGATATAGATTCACAGTTCTCACCTTTGGGCAACTGATCATCAGTACTATCCCCTTCATATTGATCTTACTGTTGAACAAGGCAAGAACCTATCTCCATCTTTCTAGTTTTACTGGATTTCTGGAATATAGCCACTGTACAAGAGGGTTCCTGGGCACTTTGGGGTTAAGGCCATCAACTTGTTGAGACAGTACCTAAGTTGCCCAAGCCACCATATCAGTTATAATATTCATCTCGGCATGTAAAGATATTCTATACCCCAGTAAACGGGGTACAGGTTGTACCTCCCTAGTCTGGCAACCTCGGGAACCTGACCGGTGCCGGACCATGGAAATTTCCGGACCATGGAAATTCACCCTTTTCCTGGACAGATAGTGACTTGCACTTACATTAGCACCACTTTCACTGCTTCGTGGTCTCTTTGAAGACATACTGAAGGGTTAAATGTCGTACAGTAGCTTCTCAAATTTTGCGAGTTTTTAATTCAACGTTTTTTATTTGGACACAAAAAAACCACTACATAATTTAAAATTTTGACAGCGGAAACTCGAATTTTGACGGGTTTGAGCGGCCCGCCAACGTTCAGACGTGCACAATCGTGTAAACAGCGTCATTTCTCTTATGTACAAAAGATTCATTATTGTTTATTACTGAATGTCTTTTTTATTGATTTAATGTTTATGTGTGCAAAATGAGCAATACAATTCATTAATAATACGTAGATTATTAAAACACACGAAGAAATGAGACCGCATTGTTTTCGTTGATTACAAAACCAGTGACTGAGTGGTTTTACATAAAAAATAAGAAAATAAGACCCTGGTTGTAGCTGTAGTAAAATTAATGTAAAAAATTAATATGGTTATTTTAAGTAATGTTATTTAATGTTAATAAATAGAACAATAAAAGTAGCAAACCATTCATGTTAAAGAAAAAAAGTGAGACTGCGCGTATGTAAGTGCGCACATGTGAAAAAATATCGTCATTACTCTACATAAGAGTATGAAAGCAACACTTATTTACTGTTCATATATGTTTTAATTAATGTTTGATATTTTTTATTGAAGTAATGTTTGTGTGCAAAATGAGCAATACAATTCATTAATAATTCGTGGAATATCAAAACACACGAGGAGACGAGACGGCTGCCGGCATTGTTTTCGTTAATGTTTACAAAACCAGTGACTGATTGGTTCTACATATAAAACAAGAAAAATAAGACCCAGGTTGTAGCTGTAGTAAAATTAATGTAAAAATTAATATGGTTGTTTGAAGTAATGTTATTTAATGTTAATAAATAGAACAATAAAAGTAGCTAATCATTAATGGTAAAGGAAAATAGTGAGACTGCGCATATGTAAGTGAGCACATGTGAAAACATATCGTCATTACTCTATATAAGAATATGAAAGCAACACTTATTTACTGCTCATATATATATATATATTAAAGGGTTAAATGTTGTACTCTGTATAGACAAACAGAGAGAGAGAGCCAAACTGTCGGATGTAAACAAACCTTAATTTACCGCGGCTTTGTTGTTGTTTTTTACGGGGATTAGCCCACCCGGGCACAGGTCACTGACCCACATTGGGGCCTGAGGGGCGAAAATGTAATACTCCTGTAATAATAATAATAATAATAATTCAGATAAGTATAAAAAAAAGAAAGAAAAAAGTTGCTTATCTACCTATTGGGGAAACTAAAATAATTCCGGACCACAGGAGTTTCCGGACCACAGAATGCTGGACTAGAGAGGTACAACATGTATCAGCAAGCTTACACTACACACCTTGGTAATCTTTCTCTTCTCTGGATAAATGAACTCTTCCTCCAATCTTCTTTTACCCCCACTTTCACGAATAGCTAAAAATCTGAAATGGGAAGCAACATTATTTACACAAACATGTACAGATAATCACATTAATGCACTTTGCACAATTTCATTAAAACACCCTGTACAGTACAGGTAGTCCCCGACTTACGACTGCCTCAACTTACGTCCATCGGTACTTACGACCTGCTCTGACCTTACGACCGTCGGGACATACAACCGCCGCAGTCGTGACCATTTTTTTTCTTCAAATGATGCGCGCATTTTCTATACCAAAACGTTTCCAGTTACCCGGTAATGTAGTCTCCATGTATGATGAGAAAATTATGGGGGCCCAGTGTGCATTCAGCTGACTACATTAAAGGTAAGTGCTCAGTCACACTGTATCCATTCCTCATTATTTATTACTTTTACTGTACTGTACTGTATTTCATTGTAGATTTTTTATTTATTTATTTTTTTAAAAATTGAATTTTTTTTTATCTATGTCGGACTTACGACCATTCGGACTTACGAACTGGATTTGGGTCCCTAACCCCGTCGTAAGTCGGGGAGCACCTGTACTGTACAGTATTACCAACCAATTGTCAGACTAAAATCTCACCCAGAACAGATCATTAGTGTTTATATAAACATTTATATAAAGTTCGATAAACACTAAATAATTAAAACTACTGTATTTGATAGTTTTAATTTAATCAATGCTATGTTTCCTTAATATCTTCATGGATGAGGTAATTACTAAAAGAGGTGAAAGCAAGTGATGGAATGAGGGGTGAGTACATTTGGTGGATAGACAATGATACAATATGCAAACAAGAGGAAAGTCACATGCTCTTTGCATATAACACTGCTCGATTGGGTGATTTGGAAGAGAAATTACAAATGCTGGTGAATGAGTTTGCAAGAGTGTGTACTAGAAGTGTTGACTACCGTAAGAATGTGAACAAATAAAAAGTGATGAAAATACAGTACGTAAAGCAATGAGAGACGGAGAAGTAGCTGTTGACGTTAATGGATACTGTATACAGTGACCCCTCGTTTAACGAACACCTCGGTTAACGTAATTTCGATTAACGAACTGCCTTCCATAAGGATCTTCAATTCGGTTAACGAAAAAAAATTCGGTTAACGAAGTTCTTACGAACTGACCTCAACATGTTTTCGCTTGCACTGGCCGGGCAACCAGCTTTAGTATCAGTCCGCCAATACATTAATCGGTTCTAGGGCTTAAATTCCTTACTATTTTAGTAAATATCAAGAAGTTTATACGATTCATTAATTTTAATATTAAATTTTTTAGTCATTTTAACAATTATTGAACATAATTGAAGGTAAAGTGACTAGTTTAATGCGTGGCATCCAGCCTCTTAACACAGCAAACAGGAGTTAGTCTCTCTCTGTTTTCACTGGAGGTAACATCTTACTTGAGACTCTCTTCAACTAAACGCTTTTTTTCTGTGTTTCCAAGCAAATTATTGGTCATTTTGAAATATATTTTACATATTGACAATATATAATGCAGTGCAGTGTTGATTTAAAGAAAATAATCTTGAATTACACCAGAGAGCTAAAATTTTATGGGTGAAATGGCGCCATGGGGTGACTTCTCTTCCACCCCAATGCCTTCTCTTCTTCCTTCTCCTCCACCCCCATTCTAAATCCCATCATCATCATCATCATCCAGGAGCCTTCTACATACACACCTCAAAGTAAGTGAACTTTTCTACCATTTTTGTTGAATTTAGGAAATTTTCGGTGAGCTGGAACCAATTACCCAAAAACCCATTGAAACAATGGTTTCGGTTAACGAACTTTTCGGTTAACGAACGACCTTCTGGAACGGATTGAGTTCGTTAACGGAGGGGTCACTGTAATGTAAGAAGTACAGTGTAGTGTAGTACTATGATTCAGATATTTAAGAATGGATGTGTCAGCAAATGGATTGATGCACGATGAATTGGACACAGATTAGCACGGGAAAGATAATAATAAAACCACAATGCAGTACCAGCTCTGGGCTTTTAGGGTCACTAGGTAAGATTTGGTTGTGGGGGCCCCCTCCTCTTCCATTATCAAATTAGCCAAACCCCTCCTCACCCAAAAGGAAAACAAATCAGTACTTACACTTTGTTTTTATTGGTGTAAATTGATATTTAGGGAAGAAACTATGGCTGATGGGCCATGCTAGGTTGTATGAAGTGATGGGTAAACAAGATGGATATTTGGGCCTTTCTTTTGGAAGGGGAGTTCAAAAGCATAATCTAATACAGCAATGAAGAGTGACTGAATACCACTGTGTGAAGAGGCGGGATTTCAGGATTAAACCCTAATTTGATTCTCTTTTAATTTAACACTTTCAACACAATATTACCTGATTTCTGATGTTCTGACATGAATAACTCTGCTAGAGTCATCAGGATGAAACATGAGGTAATCGGGTGAAATCTGCACATCATTCTTATCCTTCCATCTTACTTGTCCTCCTTCAAGCAGTTCCTCAGTCCTTAAATCCCGTACCTATAATTCACAGCTGCATGTAGAGTTTGGAATAACAATACTGTATTCGTATATATCATAAATATCATCTATTACATTCAATTCATATTAGCACATAAAAACTTATACCTAAATATTTTGGTAGTACAGTATAGCCAAGAAATAAATGCTGGTAAATGTACTGTACTGTACTGTATGTGCCTCCAGTAACATGGGTTGGTAGAGGGGATTATCTTATTGTTTTAAACTATGAGATAGGATAAAAAGATTTAGATAGTGACTCAATGATGTGGTCAAGCATCAAATATAAAGAAATACACAATCATGTTCACTTCCTACCTCTAAGACAGAGTCAGAAACAGCTCGAATGTATGTCCAAGGACAAGCCCCCAAACCTAAAATGTCCATATGTGCGAGTGTAACAAATAGGAGTGGAGGAGCCTTTTCAACACCCATTGTGCATTTGGATACAAATTCCTCAGCAGTGTCAACATTACCCATCATCTTTTCCTGTGAAGAGAATTGATACATAAAATACCCATTATAACAAAGGTCCATCAGGCCAGAACTGTCATAGCTTTGGTCTAACAAGGAGTTGATGCCTTGGCTACAAAAAGAAAAACAGTATCAACAGCAAAGATGACACTCCATTTACTTATTCCATGATATGACTTCAAGAGGCCACCAAACCCAACTAATTGTATTTCATCCAACAGTATAATCAAGTTTATCATCCTTCATGACTACTGCACTGTACTACAATTACTGAACTATAGAATCCCTACTTAATCCTTTCACTGTCTGCTAAATACTGTACTGTTTTTTTTCTGTTCATATAAGGTTCTTGCATTTAAAACTCCTGTGTGATATATTTTGTCTAAATATTTATGATTAGTATTTTATTTTGGCAAGCTACTACCTCATTTATCGCCACATAAGAGTCAGTTATATTCTTTTACTACAGGTCAGTATTCCTCATGATGGTAGAGCGACCTGTATGACAACGCGCTGCCAGAGCATCTGTGGAGGGTAATCATGATCATGTTGATTTATTGGGCAGTATCTACTCAGATGATCTTAGTGACATCACTAATGATGTACAGTGAACCCTCACTTTACGCGGTTAATTCAACCCACGGCAGCCCGCGTAAAGTAAACAACATAACATATGGGATTAATTGAAATAGAGACCGGGCCGACCCCCAAACTCCACTTTTTCAGACACAACACCTACGTTGTAGTAAAAATAACTTCTTAATTTTATGATGGTATGCACACAATTAATAATTAAGAGAAATATCAATAATATTAGGTTTTTTAACACTTACATTAGTAGAAAAGATGGCTGGGCACACGGGGATGGGGGGGTTGGTTCCGAGGCAGAGGGCAGATTATTGGCCCTCACCTGTATCACTTGTATCAATTGTATCACTATCCACCACAGAGGCTTGCAGGGCCTCTTTGTCAAACCCCTCAAAGTCCATATAAGTCCATATCCTCACTATCATTATCACTATCACTGACTTGGGCTGGCTGTGGTGGGTGGCGGGTGAAGAACTCGGTAATGTTTTGATGACTGGGCGACCTTGTGCGTACCCTGCTCGCGCCGCTCTCCGCGTAAAGTGAGCATTCCGGTTTCGGCAGGGTACCGCGTAAACGTGGAAACGCGTAAAGTGGGACCACGTAAAGCGAGGGTTGACTACTATTATAGCTGTGTAATAGAAGAAAGAAAAACTTAAATAAAACTGGAAAGCATATTAGTATGTCTCACAGTGCTGCCTGCTGCTGAGACACATCCTCTTATGCTGCCAGTTATAAATATTTAAATATATTTTTCTTTTTGAATACTTGTATCCAAAAATCCTCAGCTGGGTCATCAGACAGTGAAAGGGTTAATCACAGCACCCAATTTTACATTTTCCTGGGTTATACTTCAAGATAAATGAGGAAAACTAACTAACTTTGATAATTTTCTGGGCATCATATATAAGAGTGAAGTTTTTGTTGGTCATAACAAGCAGCATGTCATCATGAATCTCAGCATTACGCAGCTTCCCGTACTGACTCTTATGCTCCCCATCTAAAAATAAGATGATTTTTTAAGAAGGTACAATTACAGGTGATAGAAAAGATTTCCTTGAACTTAGAAAAATTAAGTTCTTTGTGAAACAAAACTTTAAGACATTAAAGTTTACACATCTGGTAAAGTACTAAAGAAATTTAGTGTACAGTGATCCCTCGGTTAACGAGCGCCTCGGTTAACGAGATTTCGGTTAACGATTTACCTTCCATAAGATTCTTAACTTTGGTTAATGAGCAATCCTTCGATTAACGAGTTTTTTACAAGCCGACGTCAACATGTTTTCGCTTGCATTTGGCGGTCCACCAGCTGTAGTATTAGTCCGCCAATACAGTAATCAGTTCTAGGGCTTAAATTCCTTACTATTTTAGTAAATATCAAATAGTTTATTCTATTCAATAATTTTAAAAGTTTAATATTAAATTTTTTTAGTCATTTTAACAATTATTGAACATAATTGAAGGTAAAGAAACTAGTTTCTGGCGCGCCATCCAGCCTGTTAACACACCAAACAGGCGTTAGTTTCGCTCTCTTTTCAGTGGAGGTAACATATTGCTTGAGACTCTCTTCAACTAAACGCATTTTTCTGTGTTTCCAAGCAAATTATTGGTCATTTTGAAATTTACTTTACATATTGACAATATATAATGCAGTGCAGTGTTGATTTAAAGAAAATAATCTTGAATTACACCAAGTGAACTAAAATTTTATGGGTGAAATAGCACCATGGGGTGACTTCTCTTCCACCCCAATGCCTTCTCTTCTCCCTTCTCCTCCAGCCCCATTCTAATTCCCATCATCATCCAGGAGCCTTCTACATACACACCTCAAAGTAAGTGTACTTTTCTACCTTTTTTGTTGAATTTAGGCAATTTTCGGTGAGCTGGAACCAATTACCCAAAAATCCATTGAAATGGTTTCGGTTAACGAGCAACCTGTTGGAACGGATTGTGCTCGTTAACCGAGGGACCACTGTTATTTTTATTCTCCTGCCGACATCATATATAAATTATTAGAACCACAGTAAGTCCGTGCTTAACGTCGTCCTGCTTGACTTTGTTTCGGTACTACGTCGCTAAGCTTTAGAGACCAAAAATTCGTTTAACGTCCCGGTGATCGGATACTACGTCGTTTTGCGTCATCACGGACTATTTTTTACAGCGCGTCACCCGCTCTCGTCTGGCCCCGCTACACTCTCTCGGCTTGGCACAGAGGCTCGGTGACTCACCAACCTCCTCCTCCTCTCCCGCCATCCACCTCCCTCACTTCACTACTCACCACACACTCACTCTACCACCTACGCCCATCGGTGGGTACCAATACAAGCTTAGTACTGTAGTTGGATATGTATGCACTATTTTATATAGAAATGGCATTGATTTTCTGCATATATAATGTATTCCATGGGGCAAAGGGAGGCTCAGGAACGTAATTCCCGTATTTTATCTATTTCTTACGGGGAAAATTGATCTGCTTAACGCTGTTTCGTGTAACGTTGTGTTTTTAGGAACGTAACCCTGACGTTAAGCGAGGACTTACTGTACTGTACAGTACTAATTTCTTTTTTATCTTTTCGAACTTTTCCAGTTTAATGTAGGATTCCCCCCCAAAACCTAATCAAACAACACACATTGTAAAGAATTAAATGGATTTTTTCAAATCATAACTTTTTAAGTTTGATTTTATATGTGCAGTACTGTATGATATGGTACCTGTATGTATGTATAATTCTGACTGTATACAGGGTGTTCCATAAATACCTTTCATAAACTAGACAGTGTATTCCTGAGACATAAATAAAGATAAATAACTAAATGACCAAACTGTCAATTCGCAATAGTTTTGGAGTTACAGCACATGACATGCTTGATAGGAATGTGCTGAAACTTATATGGGGTGTATATGAAACATTCAATACACTGTGCTAGTGACATTTATTAACAATAATAATGTCATATGATTTGTATTGGTATTATCATTTAGAAGAAATGTTCAAGGTCTGCCCCTCTTGCTCAATACAGGGCTCAGCCCGTCGCACTGGTGAGTGTTGCACACGTTCAAAGACTCCAGGGGTATTGCGAATGTTGGACACACTGTCCTGTACATGGCGCCACAATTCCTCACAGTTTACGAACCCCTGTAACATATACCTTGCTTTTTATGTGACCCCACAGGTAGAAATCAAGGGGATTTATGTCAGGTAACCATAGGTTTCATCACATTTCTACCAAACCTGTCATGTGCTGTAATTCATAAACTAATGAGAATTGTCAATTTGTTCATTTAGTAATTTATCTTTATTTATGTCTCAGGAATACACCGCCTAATTTATGAAAGATATTTATGGAACATCCTGTATACAGTACTTTGAATATCTCTCTTTGCTGTCCATCTCCATTAAGATCTATTAATATAGGTTTAAATACAACAAATTTTAACTAAGTTTACAAATACTGTATGCAGTTCCTCAAATTACCTGGAAAAACTGAGCTGGCAATGTCAAGTGTTGCCAGATGTTTAAACGGATGCATAGAGAACACACTAAAGCGGAACAGGGATTCCGTTCGAGGCAAAAACTTGAGCTTTGGTGATTTGATGATGACGACATCCGACAGAAAACTTACAGACAGCGAACCAGCTGGCAGATGACTGAGTTGAATTTTGTTATATAATCTTCCATTTTCAAGGTTGTGACGCATCAGTACACCACCTTTACACAGTGTAAACATTACTGGTTGATATTCTGGAAAGATGGCAACAATAGGAAACAATTACAACCTATACTGCACTGTAACACCAGGAGAAAATCATTTTATCAGACTACCTAAATCTATTCAAGAACAAAAATTATCCCTATATTGTGCTGTATATTCATCACAAAAATCTGTAATTGAAATTTTATTTTTAATATTTCTTTTTATTGTTTAACATCATTTTACTTACAGTACTGTATTTACATTATTTGTTGTGTATAGGATATTGTTGTTGTTTTGTATGGGCAGCTCTGTTTTAACCTAACCTAAACTATGGAATTAACACTGTTCTCACTTACAAATAGGGTCCAGGAACAAACAAACAATACACATACTGCAATAATTTATGAAAAATGGAGGATTGATTATGAATTCCTGTTTTCTGGCCAAGCCCACAGCCAGTACTGCAGCTAAGTGGTTCTTGTTACAATGTTAATTAGCTGTGGGTATTTATTATCACAGTAGATGACTCAAAAAAATATGTGAAGGATAAAAAGTGTTCAGTAGATTCAAAACTAAATGTACCTGTACTTCCTCATTTATAATACTGTATAGAGGAACACTTACCCTGCTGTGGAATGGATGCTTTAAAATTTGGATCGGGAATCTCATATATTGCGAGTTCCTTTGGACGAGAATAGAGGTCCATTTTGTACAGGGGTAAGAGTCTTCCATCACCACAAATTCTTTTCATCACACCACAAGAAACTGTAATAAAACAAGACTTAATGACTTACTGGTATTACCACTTCAAGCCAAACATAAACACTATGATTTCATGATACTGTAGTTATGGTTTTATTTCACAAATGGAACATCAATTGAGGTGATAAACACAGTAAGGTAATCTACAGCAATCAGTAAGTCAAGAAGATGACATTTGTAGGGTCTGTAGCATAGTAAATCCACGTAATATCTAGCCCATGAGTTCACAATTTTCCAGAAAACTATTTAGGGGACTTAATTCTACATTGCATTAAGAAGCTCAAATTATTGTGGTCTGTGTGGGTAATCACCAAGTTATAGTCAGTTTGCTCAATGGCACTTTTTGGTAGTAGATGCCTGTGATGTTCCAGCCTTGATCACACCCCATCTCTTCCTATATTTGTTAGCGACGTATTCGTGAAACGATGTACGCGTACAGTAATCCCTCGGTTAACGAGTTACCTTCCATAAGATTCTTAACTTCGGTTAAAGGGCAATCCCTCGATTAACGAGTTTTTTACAAGCCGACCTCAACATGTTTTCGCTTGCATTTGGCGGTCCACCAGCTGTAGTATTAGTCCGCCAATACCGTAATCGGTTCTAGGGCTTAAATTCCTTACTATTTTAGTAAATATCAAGAAGTTTATCCTATTCAATAGTTTTAAAAGTTTTATATTAAATTTTTTAGTCATTTTAACAATTATTGAACATAATTGAAGTATAGGAAGCTAGTTTTTGGCATGCCATATAGCCTGACAACACACCATACAGGCATCAGTCTCTGTGTCTTTTCAGTGGAGGTAACATCTTGCTTCAGACTCTCTTCAACTAAACACTTTTTTCTGTGTTTCCAAGCAAATTATTGGTCAATTATAAATTAATTTTACATATTGACAATATATAATGCAGTGCAGTGTTGATTTAAAGAAAATAATCTTGAATTACTAAAATTTTATGGGTGAAATGGCACCATGGGGTGACTTCTCTTCCACCCCAATGCCTTCTCTTCTCCCTTTTCCTCCACCCCCATTCTAATTCCCATCATCATCATCATCATCCAGGAGCCTTCTACATACACACCTCAAAGTAAGTGTACTCTACTACCTTTTTTGTTGAATTTAGGCAATTTTCGGTGAGCTGGAACCAATTACCCAAAAATCCATTGAAACAATGGTTTCGATTCACGAGTTTTTCGGTTAACGAGCAACCTTCTAGAACGAATTGTGCTCGTTAACCAAGGGACCACTGTATATTGATACAATATATAACAAGGGCCACCTGTACAGTACTACATCCTAAATAGTTGAATAATATCCACTGTAGTATACTACTGTACTACCACAAAGAATCTCAAGGGAAAACATAAATTTCAATTATTGGAAAAAAATAAATTTAATCCCCTTTTTTTTCACTCTGATTTCAATTGATTTAAATCATAACAACCCTGTCCAGCATGCAGGAGTTTTTGGTCAATTAGTTGCTCTCATAACAAAATATGGTACTGTAACTGTAATACACTTTATACTGTACAATGTCTGAAAGATTTTTAATGTTAAATTTAGTGGACTCAAAACTCAACCTCGTTTCTCCACAAATTTGTAACTGATTTCCACTGTGTTAAGCATCAGACATTTCTAAGAAATGTAACCATACACAGAATTCAAGTTTACTGTTTAGATAACTTTAACTTACCTCCTATCTGACCAGACGGTTTAGTTATCCACATTAAGTCACCACTGAGTTCCATGAGAGAGTTCGCCCTTGTTTGCAAAATCTGTTTCCATTGTCTTCTTGGTCCAAAAGTTGCTTGACGCAGAGCTTGGATGCTTGTCCTATACAGTAAAAAAAAAAAAAAAAAATTATATATATATATATATATATATATATATATATATATATATATATATATATATATATATATATATATATATATATATATATATATATATATATATATATATATATATATATATATACACAAGTAATTGCCATTTTGTGTGTGTGTGTGTGTAATCCTACAAATTATAAATGGCAAGTAGGCCATGGACTCACAAATATAGAGAGAGAGAGAGAGAGAGAACCTGGAACTACTGTATATCTCATTTTAGTTGGAATGAACCACTCAGTAAATTACTGATGTACAGTTCTGTACGGTACTAAAATTTGACAGTACAGTACAGTACAGTACAGTTTTCAATGATTCATTTTGCAGAAATGAATCATTGAAAAGTACAGTACAGTAATCCCGTGTTTTTCGGGGGAATTACATTCCTGAAACCCCACGAAAAACGAAAACTGCGAATACTCTTTTAGGAATCACTGTACATGTGGCCACCAAACAGCTCAGGTAGGTCATGCACATAACCACGCCATGCTCTCCACTCACGGCCCAGTGGTCATGCTGATCACTGACACACTGTACCGGCATTTACTAACATCATTATTTGAAATTAATCATATTGTAGTATAATAACGGAAAAACGTAAACACAGTTATATACAAAAAATGTTTATTTACATGTAAATAAAATGTTATATATTTTGCCGAGGTGGGCAACACCCGCACTGCCAGCCTCTCCCAGCTGTCCCGGCGTCTGCCCGCCCTCATGCAGTCACAGTAGCGTTCACAGTATGGTAGGCACGTGTGGACTGAGGCTTCTCGGAGCAGCGGGTGTCTGAGGCAGGAAAGAGTGGCGTCTGTTTGCCGCACCGCACAGGGGAATATCGAAAATGGCGTGAAATTTAAATTTTTGTTTTTAAAGGATATTTTACATACAGTATATATAATTTTTTAGTAAAAAAACCGCGAATGGTCAAAACCGCTATAAAAAATCCGCAAAAAATACGGGATTACTGTATTAAAAGCACTATGAAATCATCTTTGCTCTTCTTGTTTACAAATGCGTCCCAGCGACCAACAGAATAGTAAGCGATGGAATGGTTCCCAGCGAACTTTTATATGAACTGAAATATTAACAAGCTAACCTAAACTACCTAACCAAACCTAACATAACCTGAAAGTGTTCATGTGTATGAAAAGGACAATACTCAGAAGCATTCATCTGTATCACAAAGAACATTACAAAAATTGTGAATGTGCCATTTTTTACAAAAATTGTGAATCTGTGCCATTTTTAAGATATTCACCATTAGAAAGATTTCATCACAAAAATTGTCTAAATTTGTTTTTTCTTAGTGAGTACATAATGGAAGTATTGAAGTCTATGAAACATTCCTAGTCATATAAACTGTTGAAGAGGAAATAAAGAAGACATCATCAGGTGACTTAGAGGAACATCTTTACACAACAGCAGCAGGAAAAAAAAATATATCAATATACCAAAGTGTAATTCCTTCACCTGATTTGGTTTATTCTTGAGGTAAGAGATAAGTTTTCTTCAATTGATATCTTTTGTTAGGTAGCTGGTTAATCAGGATCCCTGTCATTAAATAACAAAAATATGTTTTGATTTATGAATTTTTGCTTAACGAAAAACATTTGTGAAATACATTCCATTTGTAAATCAGCTTTGGCCTCTGATGTTAATGAAAATTATAACTGAGGATGGGAATGACCTTATCTGCGTAAGAACTTCTGCAATTTAACATTCTAGTTTTCTATTTCTACAATGGAGAAAATACTCTTATATGGATCTTCAAACTGCATGTACTGCACAAGTAATTAAGGTTACACTGTGGATAGTTGTCTAGTTGTTGGTTAGGTTGGTTTCTTTAGAATAACACCAGAAGGAGTCGATGTAATTGGATGATACTTTGTGGAAAAATTAATTAAAATTTATTAAATACAACAGATAAATGAAAATGAGAATCAATTCAGTGTTGTTAGGTATGTTTTAAAAGGTTTTTCTGATAAGTTAGGTAAGTTACTTTAGGTTAGGTTGGTCAGGTAAAGTTCTAAGTACGTTCTGTGCACTTTCGTTTCCATTTATCTATTTAATAGGCTGTAAATAGCGTTTCCACAAAGTTTCGTCCGATTACATCAACTCCTTCTGGTGATAGTCTAAGAAAAAAAAAAAGCCCTAACGAGCCAACAACCGAACATATATCCACAGCCTAAGTGTTGTAGACGTAAATAAAATTGTTGGTTGGGTTTGTTTACGTTAACCAATTATACATATCTTGCTGTAGATGGTTTTTGCCATCAAATTCAATAAAAGCCAAAGAAACTAATACGCACTTTATGTTCGTAATTGTCATGTGAATGAAATCAAGGCAGGCGGTCCGACTAATTACCCAAATGTACCCAAATGTAGCCAAATATAGCCGCAATGAAGTCAAATAATGGTCCTAGGTGAATAAATTGGACTGCTAATCACTTCTCGACTAGTATTTGGTGTCAGAAAGTCACAAAAAATTGGAAAACTTACTTTAATCCGAGTTAATAGATCGCGTGCATGTACCGAGGGAGCGAGGAATTACCCAAATGTAGCCACAATGAAGTCAAATGATGGTCGTACAAGCGTAAATCGGGCTGTGAATCACTTCTCGATTATTATTTGGTGTCATAAAGTAAAAAAAAATTGGTAAATTTAATTTAATCTGAGTTGTGTTGTGTTAGGTTAGGTTAGGTTAGATTAGGTTAGATTAGGTTAGGTTAGGTACATGCACTTGATCTATTAACTCATTAAATTAAGCTTACCAATTTTTTGTGACTTTGTGACACCAAATACTAGTCGAGGTGAGGTTAGGTTAGGTTAGGTACATGCACTCGATCTATTAACTCAGATTAAAGTAAGTTTTCCAATTTTTTGTGACTTTCTGACACCAAATATTAGTCGAGAAGTGATTGGCAGTCCGATTTATTCACCTAGGACCATTATTTGACTTCATTGTGGCTATATTTGGGTACATTTGGGTAATTAGTCTGACCCAAGGCAGGTATTCAAGATGACATAAAAACACATGAGAATAATTTAAATCCCACAAGCCTTACCACCAGGGACATTTAACTCCATATTCTCGATTTATCAGTTCTTGCACGGCCGTCTTTCTCCTCCTGAGCTTCATTATCTTCCTACATACGCCAATATAAAAAGTTTTCCTTGAAGGTTAACGTGAGAGAACTTCTGCCACACTTCTACTGTACACCATTTGTTGTGGTTGATGGAGTTTAATATCACCTCCAAATGACGTCACTATAGTACCCAAGGAATATCAAATAAGGGAATTATAACTCTTATAGAATACAGCAGGGTTGCCAACTCGGGTTTTCAAATGTCGCTAGGCTGGTACCTAAAAGTAGCTAAATGTCGCTAAATCTTCCATGGAAAGTCGCTAGCTATTATTCTCCCCCTTCAGTAATTTGATGCAAATAATATTTTCATAATGCCGACTATAATGGACGGAGTATAAATAAAATGCATTATGTAAAAATAAAAATATTATTTTTTTTAAAGTTTAATGTGCACACTTACCTATTATTCAATAGTAATTGCATCCCAGTCCTCTTGGTAGTCGTCGGCAGTGTGAACAACTGTAGAGCTGGAAGCATGTGAAGTGCTTGGTTCAGGTTCTCTTGTAACTGTATGCCTCCACAGTCCCTATCTTTCTTAAAATATCACTAGGACGTTCATAACTTGCACAACAGGTGTTCTGTCTTTTTAACCCATACTTTATTGTAAGAATTGCCTTTAATGTCGATAGTTTCATTTTGTTGCGCAATTTTGATTTCACAAAGTTCATATTAGGCCTACTAAATGTGCGCTCTTCATCTGCGTTTGAATGCGGAAGAGATAAGGCAGCGAGTGCAATTTCAGCCAGATCATGGTAAGGGTTTTCACCTGTCGCATCTCTGTAATTTGCCACTTCTGACCACAATTTTAGGGTGTTAGATGCATGGACGGGCTGACATCAAGTGATCAGGAAACAGACGTGTCCCTCCTTCTGTACCACGACCCATTCAAATGTATTAAACTTTTCTTATTATTTATTGTCCCTGTAACCCCGTTGCTATATATTATGGCTCGAAATTAGGAAAACTGAGTTTTCATGGACAGTCCAAAAGTATCCAGAAAGTCGCTAGATTTCTGTGGATATCTCTAGATTTGCCACAAGTCGCAAATCTCTCTAAAATGTCGCTAGAAAAAAAGAAAAAGCTCTAGATCTAGCTACAAAGTCGCTAAGTTGGCAACTCTGGAATACAGTACTGTAGTAGGATGCCAAAGCCTGTTTTACATCTTGGTGTCTTCAGAATAATAATTTCGCTTTTATATTTACGGAGTAGAGCACAATTTGGCGAAATAGTAAAAGTAATTATTTTATAAATTCCGAAAAACAGTTTTTTAATATGAATATTGTAAGAACAAATCGTGTAGTTGAAATGGCCGAGTGTAAGCTCTTAAAAGACTTGATCAACACTGATGCAGGTACAGATTCAGGAGTCAGTACATGCCCAGTACTTGCCAACAATAGTAACAGTACGTAACAGACACGTTGCCGACCGCCCAAGCGGCTAACAGGCTGATTAGTGACGAAGAGGATAAAGTACAGTTAATGATAAAAATAAGAAAACAATCAGTTTCATTAAAGACTTTATTGCATAGTCAAATTAATATAGATAAAGTTAGGTTATGTAGGGTTTAGTTAGACTTAGTTAAGTTAGTAATGACACTACTCTTGTAAGGTTCTTATTGTGATTGTCTACATGCCGCAAAATGGGTACAGATAATTAGAATAAGAAATGTGAAAATCAGAGAATATTTTAAGTTATCCTCTAATAAGTTTTCTGTAACACCACAAAAAACAAAAGTTCGAATAATTTAATGGATAACTAATTAAAAATATGAAGATTACCATTGTGAGAAGGCTAATCAAAATTATGATAGTAGGTCTTATAATAAGGGAGTTCATACACCTAGATGGTTGATCCCTTAACGCTTCTAAAAAAAAAGAGGTGTTTCTCCGCATGGAGTACTGTCACTGTCTGGTCCCCGAGTTATGTTGGAGACTGTCAGTTATTTGAAAATGCCTTGAGAATGGCTACCAGACAGGTGCCTGTACTATGGCACTTCACTTATCAAGAGAGACTGAAACGACTGCAGTTGCCAAGTTTGTACTTCAGTGACTGATTTATCTTAATGCCTAGATCTTTTTCCTTATTAACAGTATCCAGGAAAGTGGCATTAAAAGAACAGTGGTGATTAGTGTTGTATCCGAAATGCAATGTCTTACATCTTGATAATTTACCTCAATATTTTTTCTTATTAATGTTGCCATACTATTACTCCTTTGGCTAACGGTGCGGTTTATAAATAGCTCAGCGTTGTATAGTTGGATGAATAAAGCATTTATCCCATTCAGTTCACATTTACTCTTTTGCACCCTTTCCACGGGACAAGGAAGTGTCACCCATCAAACTGAAGATTACCCTGATGCTTCTCTTTGGTCTAACTGTGATCACAGGGGTGTCTGTGGTCTTAATTGGCTGTAAATTACCAATAGAATCTCCTTCGAGTAAGTTGTGCTCGAGCCGCCAAGTTAGTCTGACACTTACAGTAACTCGACCAGGATCACAGCCTCGTCCACCTCTCTTTACCGTCAAGCGAAAGTTTTCGCCAAGAGAAACTATTTCCTACTTCTTAGTGTTTTAATTAACACCGCCCACGTTGTTAAGAACATGAATAGTGTGTAGCATAGAGCAACATAACTATCATTTTCATAGAGTTGTGCAGAAATATTAAAGATCCCATTTTGACAAGTTCAGTGTACTAGTCATAGATCTATTTCATTAGCATAAACTTTAATACTAGACGAGAATACCTTTATTACGTTGGTATTATTATACCTCAAGAAGCATTTATATTTTGGTTAAATAAAGTTAGTAGCTGCTTCAGGTCAGATCAGTATAATGCATAACCTCTACTGACTGCGACAAGACACTGAAAATATAGCATACTTTGAGACCCTTTGCTATATAGAATAGATTTATCATACAAATTTTAAAAATTATTGTCTCTAGCATATAATATTGATATCTTTGTACACTTTGGAAAAGTTCACTACAATAATTCTGGCAGAGAGAATAAGTAGAAATGTAATATTTGAAGATGAGGCGATGTTTTCAAGAGCTCCGTGATTTAACAAGAAAGTATTAGCCAGTACTTAACTATGCAATAAAAATGAATAAGAAAAGCACAGGGGTCAAGCATCAGGTTATGGCATAAAGTCAAGTAAAAAAAGTAATACTGTATTTAAGGTGCTCAGTTGTTTCCCTTTTCCTGTGTGATTTTATCAAGATTTATCTTATCCACGTTTTCATTGTGGATCTACATGAAATATAAATATATATATATATATATATATATATATATATATATATATATATATATATATATATATATATATATATATATATATATATATATATATATATATATATATATATCCGTAGTTTGTGTACCAGCTTTAGATGTTACAAGTGATCGCCGGCCCTTCGTGCCCAGTGAAAGTTTGAATGCTCGTGCTTGGCTAGCGTACAGCGAATGAGGGTGCGCCAAGTCCGTAGACTTGTATGGTTAATTAGGGTGCGCCAAGTCCGCAGACTTGCACTGTTTTCCATCGTAAATAAAATGGCTAATTAATGCCTTCTTAAAGAAACCATCGACATGGGACCAGGTTTGTTCCACTCTACGATTTTTTTGCGATTTTTCCACCAAGTTTGATGAAAAACGATTGTGCCGTTTCGGCTGCCCAGAACAGACAGACAGAAAGACAGACACACGCTTAGTCCTATAGTATATTAGATTGTACAGTATAATCCTGTTGTCAAGCTGGTGTAATCAAGGACTATAAACCCTGGGTGTAATTAGCTGCAACATGGAGAAAGTTCTTTATTTTGACTTACTGAATCATCCTAAGGAGCCCTCAGTTGAAGTGGTCAGGTCTTACTTTCCACACACATGAAAATAAATTTAAAACATTAAAGGAGTATTTAAACCATACTCGATATCATAAACAATTATCTAAAACTTTCAATCAAGGAGTTATTTTCTGGTTTCATTTTGACTTGAAAGAGTTTTGTCTAAATATTAACAAAGGAGATACAGTAGTGAGGTAACCAGACTTTGTGAAGTGTGGAAATAAATTTCTCGTTAATAAAGCTGTGTTGGTTTACGAAGTCAATCAAAACTTTTATATTACAAGAAGGATCCGGACATGTTTACACTGACTTAAATATAATTATGCAACTGTTTCTTTTTCAATAATAACTAAGAATAGAGGAGACAAATACGATCAACAATCTCTCTTTCTCTCTCTCTCTGTCTCTCTATGTCTCTCTCTATGTCTCTGTCTCTCGCTGTATCGACCATAGCTACCATAATTCTATAGAGAACTCGTGGCCATCAAATTTATGAGACTGTGACGGCGAGGGGGCGAATGGCGACAATCTCTTGTAGTTTAAGACGGCGGCGGTGAAGGAGGTGTTCAACTAAGAAAGCGAGGAGGGCGAGGCAGCAACCTAGCGCCAGCAAATAGAAGGCTCCCTGGAGGTGGTTCAGCCCAAGCACCACTTCGCCTCCACCTTCCTGTAACAACTACCATTATTAATATTATGGCTTGTTGTATCAGTAATGGACATATAGTATGTCAGACAATGAATGGTGCCCCTTAATGGCTGTTGTTGTTGGTGGAGATGGTAACGGTTAATTATTTATCATTACCTGTTGGCTATTAATTCTTACATTCTAACTGTTGATACTCATTTTAATCTATTGCTGTTTACTGTTGTTACTCGCCTGTTGGAGCTGACTGTCACCCTGGGGAGTGTAGGTCTTGGAGGCCATGACTTGAGCCAACCATTGGTTGACGAGGCCAGCCTCCATCAGCCGCTGCTTCACTGCCGCTATACGAAGACGGTATGGTGCCCCTCTCCTGCAATGTGAGGTGCTGCCACTATAATACTTAGTGTGAGGTGCTGCCACTATAATACTTAGTGTGGGGTGCTGCCACTATAATACTTAGTGTGAGGTGCTGCCACTATAATACTTAGTGTGGGGTGCTGCCACTATAATACTTAGTGTGGGGTGCTGCCACTATAATACTTAGTGTGGGGTGCTGCCACTATAATACTTAGTGTGGGGTGCTGCCACTATAATACTTAGTGTGGTGCTGCCACTATAATACTTAGTGTGAGGTGCTGCCACTATAATACTTAGTGTGA